ATTCCATGAGACTAAAAATTATATTAGCATATTTAGAGCTATTAAGCCGTTTTCACCCATTTCCTCCCGACGCCGCAGCAGCAGCTGAAGGTACAGAGGAGGACGGTGATGGCGCAGCGCATCTTACAGTACATCCAATCGATCCGTAAAGCGCAAGAAGCTTGAAACACGCGTCAGAAAGCCCAGCGACTGGCTTCGAAATATCAAGGAAAAAAGTACGGTCGTTTGGGATGGCAGAACGTGGCGAAAGGGCGCAACGCCCACACTTTTACGACTTTCGGCCAAGCGGCAAAGAGGTAATCGTGCGGAATTCCTGAAGCACGACAGAGAAAACACCCGCCGAGATGTTAGTTAATCTGACAAAGGGAATAGCAGAAATTGAGTTCCCCCCAAGCAGAAGATCTGATGATATTTCCAGGAAGTAAAATTGGCTCCAATTCAAATTGCAAAAACTATCCACATTTTCCAAAATTTTGAAAATCTACTATATATAAAAAATAATTGTCTGTGTGACTGATATGTACATTTGCATACAACTTCCGTCAGGTTGGTCCAGCAGTCTCAATAAGGGAGTAATTAAGGGCATGTTCGATACGTCATTAGGAGCGTAATGGCCTGGGGATGACTGCACACCAATAAAATTTTCAAAAATGAACAGTTTTTCGACGTTAAAATTAAGTTTTTGTTGAAAATGAACCACCCTCTTTCGTTTGAAACAATTAGCATACGCCGGAAGTTGCGGTAACCTATAAAAGGCAAGAGAGGTACAGCGTTTCTCATTTTTTGTCATCCAAAATCTATTATGAATTATGCAAGTGAAGAATATCATGGGATCAGACGGGACCAGGAGTTGAAAAGTCGCTTGAGAGCGAGCTTGCACGAAACCCCTGGTGATTTGTTCAAAAAAGTATTTTTCTTATTTTTCAAATTCTCTTTTAAAATACGTTTTAGATAAACACTTAACAAAAGACCAGTGAAAAACACTATTCACATTTTTTCGAAATGTACATTTCGAAAATCTTAGATCCCCTGGAACCAGGGCCTCCCAGGTTTCCCCATCTAAACTTTCTTGGAGGCACTTTTTTGGTACTCTTTCAGATGCATAACCCAGCAAGAATTTCTTTTGGTTCGGCTTTCTGGCACAAAAATCAACCTTGGAAAACACGCCCGGTGAGGAGGCTTGTCGTGTCGTGCTTTTCGCTGATAAATCCTGATTCGCCAAGGTGAAAGCTACAGAAAAATTGTGATTTTCTATTAGTGCTGCATCTACTGTCCACAGGTGCATCGAGGAAATTCAGGCTGGAGCGTTCTGAATCGCCGATTGACACGAAAACCTAAGGTACGTTAGCTTCACCCCTGGGTAGTCTGCCAGCACATTCCCGGCTCCACCGTGCCGACCCCGAGGTTCCCCTGGAAGAAAAGAGTTAGTATCGGAATCGGAATCAAATCCAAGGCATCGAGCAGTTTATTTAAAGGTATTGAAACGTCAAAACGAAGTGGAGAAAACGCAATTATCGCCTACGTGTCTTAGTACCGAATATTAAACAGAGGATCCACGTCTTTAATGACATATCATTGGCGGGAAGTTTGTGATCGACATGGCGGTGACATGGTCCAAATCCTCGTGGCAAAGCTTCATCATGAGCCTGGCACCTCCCAGTCTGGCACGATGTCTCAGGTCATCAGCACCACGTCTGAACAAGGCTTTCAGGGAACCCTGGGTATTTCAAAATCCCTCTAACCAGTCTCCTCAAACTATTCCATTTTTAACTTGGTTTTTAGGTAATCATGAACTGGGCTCGAGGTATTTATTTCAGCAGACTTGTTTTTTGAGCTATCCAGAAAAATTGCCGGCGCTCATTGCCCCCCCAATTGGGGGGGGAGGAAATCCACGTCCTTTGTTCACTGACTGTCTCGGAGGCGCACTTTGAAGCTACATCAGCCAATCAAATCTCAGAACAATATTCCTGAAAACCGGGGTTGACTGGGCATACGCTTGGGCTTAGGCTTGAGCTTGAAAAGCTTAGGCTTAGGCACAGGGGCTTAGGCTTAGGCCCAAGCCCAGGCTTGAGCAAGTAGGCCCAGGCTTAGGCTTAATCTTAGGCTTGAGCCTGCACCAATCCTTAGTCCCCTCTGATGCTCGGGATGGATCTTACGAAGATTTTTTGGAAGTTTTGTGGTATTGGCTACATAAATCGACCTCTGACAAGAGATGTTCTAGGAAACATATACCTGCCCAGATGAAGGAGGCTGACGTCCCAGTCTTGTTTTAAAGTGTCACCCCTCTCAACCTGAGCCGCCAAATCCTGAGGGCTTGCATGAATGAGCCGCTTTTCCATCTCTCGCTCTCCCTATCTCTCGATCTCGTTCCTCCTATTCTCTCTCTCTCCTCTCTCTCACTCTTGCTTACCCACAATATGCTGTGGTGGCCGCCGTCTATCAAACAGATCAGACCCCAATTACCATAAAGCATCCTCCCATCCCACAATCCGCTTCGATGACCAGCATCTCTCTGGTTTCTCGAATTTTTCCTTTTGAAGTTATCTTGAACGCCACAAAAACTAATCTACGCATTTTTTACGAGGTTCAAAGGAACGGAAACCGCGTGAGCTGTCACCACGCAAACGACTCGCGGATCGCCCTGAATTTATGAAGCTGTTCGTGTCTGAATAAGCAATTCTAAAGGTACACTGATCACTAGAGCAGCCTCCTTGAGATCTTGTCCTGCCACGCAAATGAAGGCTCGACGGTTCCACGGCGCACAAAACTGCTGGCGCCACTCCAGCAGTATTTGGTCTTTCTGATATAGTATTAAAGACGTGCCACACTATTTAAAAACATACCTGCGGCCATCGCTCATACAGCCATGCGTCGAGGACACTTGTCTGAAAGGAGACAAGTGGAAAGAATTCCAACCATGAGCCCGACACGCCAAAATACAGACAGCCAAAACGTGATATATCCGGTCGACCCAGAAAAGGTTCTAAAATCTGGGGTATTTGGCTTTCAGGATTTTAGTGGTCGTGATTTCGGCTGCCGGGATTTCGGATATCGGGATTTCGACTGTCGGGATTTTGGTTGTCGGGAACCTGGCTATCGGGATGCTGGCGTTTTCCCCGTGTGTACCGTATAAGACGTACATGGCGAACTCTTAAGACGTCAGGGGCAATGATAAACAGGAACACTTTTGAAGACGTTTCCAGGGTAAGCGGCCCAAGTAGACACTCCGATGGCTCCAGGTGAACACCAACACATTCGCCAATCTGAAAACAAGCGGCTTATCAAAAAACAACCCAATAAAATAAAATCCCCGCGCCCATAGCAACTTTGATCCCCGAACTCACAGAAAGACGACGTCCATTTTCATATTTTGTGCTATCCGGTGGCGGCCCTTAAGCCCGTGTTAATGTGGTAGTCACCCACAGTCCAGCTCACCACTTGCTGCAGGTGACCGGCCTCCAATTCATATGGCGTCCAACTCGCGGTCTGAGAGTATTAGCCGAAGGTATAGCCGTAACCCACTTCCGCAAAAACAATTTCGCGGAGAACCCCCGAAACCCTGGCCCGTCAAACAGGCCAAAAACGGCAATGTGCCGGGAGGGAGACAAAAAGCGTCGGTGGCGCGGAACGCTGGCAGACGCCAAAAAGTTTAAGCTCTTATAACTTTTTCAAACCGACTTCAATAATAGAAAACCCAATATCAATTACTGCAGAGTACAATTTTACGGTTCGAATGACCTGCCAAAGACAACCAATGGCAACCCTCCAGTACCACTTTTCACAGAGATCGTCAGCAAAAACCGCCTTCGTTTTCGATACTTTTTGAATTCAGTTTTCATAGTGAATGACGCTCATTGGAATCGCCTTTTCCAATTCTACAAAGTTGGAAATCGCTTTTAACAAAGATTCCATTTAGTTTTAAGTTATCTACTATATATAATCTACTATATGTAATTTCCAATGTCAATCCTACCGCGCCCGCCGACCGGGAATTCAGCCAAATTTTGCATGCAAATTTCAAATTCAAATTATGGAAGCCCCCAGGGCCAGCGCTGAATCCGCGCGCGCGTAGCAGGGGTCAGCGCTGGTAAAACTTTAAGGTTTTGCCCCAGACAGCTTTTCTTGACGAATGGGCGTCTAGAGCCCAGGCGCCTTATTTACCGCAAATTCTGGGCGTGGAAAAAAAAATAGTGCAACATTTTTCTAAAATAATTTTTCCACACCTTTTTTTTTTTTTTTTATTTTTCTATGCGTTCATTTTCTCAAGCCGGCTAGATATCGAAAAGGCCTCAGTTCTTCCGTACTATGAATGACGCATCGAAAATTTTTCTAATAAATTTAGTTGTGCCTATCAAAGTCATAGGAACTATTTTACTAGTGCTGTAGCCTAGATTTTGGTATATTGGCAGTGAAAAGTATCAATACAAAGAAGAAAAAAGTTTTATATAAATCAACTAAATGTTTTGATGAACCGAAAATGAAACACTTGGCGTTTCTTGATATTTTTACGCATCCATATTTACACGACAATTTTTAGGCAAAATGAACTTTAGGAAAACTATTTTTAGGAAAATGGCTTTTAGAAAAAATCAATTGAACAAATGATTCTATGAAAATGAACATAAGTCGCCGAAAACCCCCCCTCTCGCCGTCAAATGCCAACAGCGACCCGCCAGTTTCGATACCAAAAAGGCGCCTTACCGGGGTCCAAAAATTCCAAGGGCCGAGTTCAGGTATTCGAACGGCTCAGATCCAGGTGAGCATCAGATTCAGAGTTCTCAAAGAAATATCGCTCGCTCTTCATACGGTATCTCCTCAAAGCTTCATTGCCCTGAAGTGATGGGAATAGTAAAACTTTCATAGTGTTTTACGATAATGAACTGTATTTCAGGTACAAAAACAATCACACAAAAAAAACCCTTCGGAAATAAACTTGTGTTTTCATTTAACCGAAAATAGACATTCTTTTGTTTTTTAAGAAAAAAATTCTAAACAAAGTTTTCTACGTTCAGGAATATTTCAAAAATAATTTTAAAAACACAAACCCCAGATTGCGAAAGAACCTTATAATCATCTGGTTAGAGTGCCGTTTACCCCCGCCCCAGCCGGCACCCTCTTTTTTGTAGCTCGACTCCCTGTTCATCTACAGGTGTGTAAGTATATCAAAATGTTCGTCTTACTCTTGCAGAGAGTATTTTGGTCATCCTGTGCACACTAACAGAAGTATCTGGTAGGTGAAGGTCGGCTGGCCGAAAAAAGACGATAATGCCCTCTAAGCCCATCATCATTCCAAAAAAATATAAAGAAACGGTACCGCATGCGGCTTTTCAACATTGCCTCCCGCCAGCGTGTAATTCCCCAATAGAGATCTCTTCTCCCGCCGCGTCACCTCGATCCGGCAACTCCCCATCCTTACACGTAAAATAGACATTACATTTCTGTTTCCCCTGGTTCCAAAAATTTATTTTCAGTCAGGGACATCCAATGTTTTTCTTGAGAAGACATACCCTCTCTTCCATACAAATGGTAGAGCTTTTCTTGGGATAAGCAGCGCGGAGGCCCGCTTCGCCACGTCCCATCACCGCCATAGTCACGGCGGGAAACGCCATCTAAGCGTCCAGTTACGTTCGAAGTGTTTTAATAGTGTTTTTAGGAATATTTAACTATATTTCGATTAGAAAAACTATTTAAAAACTTTAAGAAAATCGAAATTTTGGTCATTTTCGGTCGAAAAATCGAGATTTTCTTAATACAACTTTGTAAAGTTTTCTTGTTTAGGCATAGTAAAAAATTATTTCTAAGAGCTTCCACAATTTATATTTGAAAAATTAGCTCGTAATAAAATTTGTTCCATAAATAAGCGAAAGAATCGATATTTGACCAGAAAAATCAAAAACTGTCGAAACTTTTCTAGTTTTCTCTGAATTTTTATATATCAAAGTCTGTGTAAAAAACTATAAAAATAGTCTTTATTGTATATTTCTCCCACGCCCACCGATCAACAGTCGAATGCCAAATTGCCTACCTGATCTGATTTGCCGGGTAAACAGAGTGGGCCAAAGTAGAGGACATCGATGCGACCGGGTAACAACCCCCTCACATTGATACACTGCCTAAAGATGGCTATAAAATCGGCTTCGACCACATCTAACGAGAATTATTTAAATCTAACCGAAAGGGTTTGGTGGTACGGTGTAGAGTGATTAATTCATCCGGATTTAGATGCTCGAGAACCAATTCAATTGCTGCATTCGGTAGTCGGTCCATCCTGTAAATACATCACATCGCTGCAAGCTTTAGGGGAGAGCATCGATATCGAGCAAAATTTTCTCAGAAGTGCTTGGCACATTCAGCCGAAAAATAAAGGCTGAACAAGCCAAGGTGTATAAATACCAGAAAACGGCTGCGCAGATGCGGAATATGGAGCTTGACAGATATGACCCGCAACGGATGCGACCTCTCGCCCTCGGTTTTGGCAGATGTGCAGATTTGAATAGGGGATCAAAGACACTTTGGTGAGCGGGAGACGGACACCACAAAAATTATTATAGTTTATTCCGCTGGTTGCATCAGCGTGGCGTCTCGTTTCTGTCCTGTCCAGGCGAGCTAAAAAAAATTGGTTTGGTCGTTTTTGGAAAAATGTTTCATAGCCCCAAAAATAGAGCAAAGATGTTCAAAATGGCCGACTTTGGGCGTTTGACGCCCTTTAAAGGGATACCCAACCTTTTTAGGGCTGAAAAAGCAAAAATCATGAAGCGGGCGGGGGTCGAACCCGGGACCCCCGCTTTCAAGACCTGGATGCTATCCATTAGGCCATAGTGGCAAGCCATTTTCCGAGATGGGGACGCCACAAGAGGGAGAGGAGGCCGAATTCTGTGCGGCACTGGGCATCCATTACCGCACAAAATTCGCGCGTCATTTGTACTCCCCGGAATACATAACTATATATTTGCCGCCAAAACCTTGGGTATCCCTTTAAAGGGATGAGGAGGCCCCACGTGGATCAGCCAAAAACCGGTGACGCGGGGGAAAGGGGGTCTCTGCGCTCTCTCCTCTGGGCGCCTTCTCTCGCCCTCTCTGGCCCAGTTGGCTACGTGCCAATTATAGATGAGCCCTCATCTACGTGGGCCCTCCTTATCCCTTTAAAGGGGTACCGACAGCATAGGTCGATCACCCCTGATCGACTTTTTGGCAAGTAGCTAACAGGGCAGAGAACGCGCCCAGGGGGGGGGGCGAGACGCAGAGACATTTTCTTTCCTCCGCGTCACTGATTACTCGTGCCGTCGTTATCCCTTTAAAGTTTGTAACTTTCTGAACACTTTAACGTTGTTTTGCCATATCTTATCTAAAATCTAAATCTAAAAATGACTGACCAGCAACAAATTTGGCAGTGGTTCAATCACGTACTGGTTGTATGCAAGGCCGTAAAGGGCTACTTGGTCTGGTTATCGGGCATGAAGTCTGTCATTATCAAACGTAATTTGCATGCGGACACTTGATAGAATACATTATCAGTATCGTGAAAAAGCCATGTGCTTTTGCATCATTTTCTCTAATTACTGACCCGCTGACATGAAGTTCTACTCGAAACTACTGACCATATTCTTTGGGGCGAAGAAGACGGAGGAGCCCGCTCTTGCTAGTAAATACATTTTTTGTAGCGACGTTGGCTAGGCTAAGGCTTAGGCTTGAGCTTGAGCTTGGGCTTAGGCTTAGGCTTAGATTAGGCTTAGGCCTCGGCTTACAATTAGGTTTAGGTTAGGCTTAGGATTGGGCTTAGGCATAGGCTTAGGCCCAGCAATCTCTGCCCAGTTCTGCAAATTCTAAGCGTTGTAAGCAATTCACGATTTTCAGGGTCCACCGGCGGCCACTCGGATGGCAGCGTAAGTTTGAAGGTCCGAGACTTCCAAAATTTCCCCAGGTTTCCGGTTACGAGAGCGATGGGAGCAGCACGGAGAGCGGCAGCCTCGAGGCCCGCCACTCGTACACCGCCGTCAGATACGGTAGTTTAGATGATCCCTGCGTTTTCTACCGTTTTTCAGGCTTTTCCCCTTCGCACACAAAGCAGCAGGATATCCCGTTCAACGAGACGTTCCCCGAAAATACGATAGTTGTGAGTGATCGTTAGGCTTAGGCTTAGGCTTAGGTTTAGGCCTTGGCTGAGCGTAGCATTTCCTTTCAGATCTACACTGACGCGAGCGTCGGCCGCTTCGGCGACAAGGCCTACGCAGGCTTCTTCGGCCACGAACACCCTCTCAATTTGTAGCTACTCGGTGCTAAATTATATTTAGCTTTTAGCGCTGAGCGCGTTACCATCGGCGAGGCCGGAAATCGGGCCAGCGACCTCGTCGAGCTGCTTGGTGCCACCGAGGCGCTGCGGCGGCTGTTGAAATGGCCGGAGTATTGGTGCGGAATTTTTCAAGTGATCTCTGCTAGCCTGCCCTCTTCTCTTCCTCAACAATCTCTGCTAGCCTGCCCTCTCCTCTTTCCCCAAATTTCCTCCCTGACCCCAATTTTCAGTGATGAGGACATCATCATCCGCTCCGATAGCCTGAACCTGGTGAAACGGCTGAACGGGTGCGCCGGCGGCTACGAAGCGGAGTGGGAAAAGCGCCTATTCTGAATACAATTTTCGAACAGGATGGCCACGTTGCGCTCGATCGCCGAGCAGTTCCCGGGTGGCGTCAAGTTCCAGCACGTCTTTGCGCACAATGGGGATCCGGGCAATGAGAAGGTGAGGAAGAGAGGGGCGGTGCTAGCAAAGAGCATTTACAACGTTTCAGGCTGATACAATGGCTCGCCACGCGATGAGGACCGGGATCAAGTACCGCGAGCCGCCGGCGATCGTCGGGAAGACGATGAAGCCGAAGCGGAAGTCGAGTAAGCGAGGATTGAGAGAGAGAGAGAGAGAGCATGAAAGAGAGTGCTAGCAAAATCATTTTTAGAACAACACCCCACTATCAGCGGCCTCTCCCAGATGTCGACCGCCTCGCCTTTCACCTCGCGGCGTCGGTCTTACGATCTAAGAAATTGCACATTCTGTTTATTTTGTCGTTTTTGCTAATTTCTGAGTTTATCGGTCTTTAGCGACGGCCTCGACCTACTCGGCGCTGTCCCGGCTCTCCACCGCCAATGCTTTCGATCCGAAAAGTGGGTGATCGGGGGTTGGGCTTAGGCTTAGGCTTCGTTTTCAGGCCTTCCGGCCCCTTTCAAAAGCTTTCTGCTCCGTTCCAGGCCGCCGATAGCTGCAGCTCGTCGCTCGACGTGCCACCAATTCTCGCCCAAGACTGACTGACCTCAAAATGGCTTCTACAGTAACCCGACTACTTGAAAATGCTGAATAAATATTTATCGACATCGAAAATAAGGAAGGGCAAAGCACACAAGAGGGTCCCGTAGCGGTGGAATCACAATGTTGGGTGAAGGAGGAGAATTAAAAGCCGGGGCTTAGGCTTAGGCTTAGGCTTAGGCTTAGGCTTAGGCTTAGGCTTAGGCTTAGGGCTAGGTATAGGCTAAGGCCTAGGCTTAGACTTCTAGGCTTAGGCTTAGGGCTTGGGCTTGGGCATAGGCTTAGGCTTAGGTTTAGGCATAGGCTTAGGCTTAGGCTTAGGCTTAGGCTTCGCTTAGGCTTAGGCATAGGCTTAGGCTTAGGCTTAGGCTTAGGCTTAGGCATAGGCTTAGGTTTAGGCTTAGACTTAGGCTTAGGCTTAGGCTTAGGCATAGGCTTAGGCTTAGGTTTAGGCTTAGGCGTAGGCTTAGGCTTAGGCATAGGCTTAGGCTTAGGCTTAGACTTAGGCTTAGGCATAGGCTTAGGCTTAGGTTTAGGCATAGGCTTAGGCTTAGGCTTAGGCTAGGCTTCAGCAAGGCTTGGAGGCATAGGCATAGGCTTAGGCTTAGGCTTAGGCTTAGGCATAGGCTTAGGCTTAGGCTCAGACTTAGGCTTAGGCTTAGGCTTAGGCATAGGCTTAGGCTTAGGTTTAGGCATAGGCTTAGGCTTAGGCTTAGGCTTAGGCTTAGGCTTAGGCTTAGGCTTAGGTTTAGGCATAGGCTTAGGCTTAGGCTTAGGCTTAGGCTTAGGCTTAGGCTAAGGGCTTAGAGAACAAAGTACAGCATGCAACAAATCACAGCAAGAAGATTCCCTGAAATCGTGACTTAATGATCTCGCTGACACGCATATACGCGTCTTGCAGCGTGGGCAGGTTGGCAGAAGGCGGGAGGAGGATGATGAGGATCCGGTCGTTGACCTGAAGCAGGGCAGAGCTGTTCAAACAAAAATATCGATAGCCATTAAATTATGCCAACATCCTCGGATATCAACAGTAAATCGCTTTTTCCTAACTACCTTCTTGATGACAATCCACCAATCCGCACTATCCTTGACGATACACTCTCCAAAATCTTCCGACGAATCCAAGAGCCGGTCGTACGTCTCGCACACGATTCTGAAGACGTTAGGGATGTTTAAAGGCAGTGTAAGAAGGATGAATATAGCGTATACGATTCCGATAAACGACTCACCTATAGACTTGTTGCGGGACGGGAGGGAGGAGCTGGCTGGCACTTGGGTTTAGCCCCAATGAACTCATCCCGATCAAGGGGGACTGGTTGAAGGAAGTACGTAGGGATAGGGAAGAGGGGTTGAAGTAGAGGAAGTGGAAGTCTGAGACTCGGAGCTCACTGATCTCGCTCGTGATCCTGAAAAGAAGCGGCTAGCAGAGATTGTTGAGGAAGAGGAGAGGACAGGCTAGCAGAGATTGTTGAGGCAGAGGAAAGGGCAGGCTAGCAGAGATTGTTGAGGAAGAGGAGAGGGCAGGCTAGCAGAGATTGTTGAGGAAGAGGACAGGGCAGGCCAGCAGAGATTTTTGAAGCATAGGAAAGCAGCTATTTTCAAAACTTACGCTTCCCCGATCTGACTTGCCAACTTCTTCAGCTCGGCCCCCAAAAATCCGTCGATATTCCGCATCATTTGGCGCGTCACATCCACATTAATGAAAAGGCACACCGTGGCGTTCAGGGAGCGATAAACCAGCTGAAAAAACGCAACTTTCCAAAATTATCTCTGCTAGCCTGTCCGGAATTTAGGGCTTCAAGGAACTGTTGAGAAATGTTAAACCTACTAATTTGTGCTCTTCGTAGGATGTACCGTCCTGTGACGTAAGAAAGACGGTGGGTGGGGAATTTTCCTGAACAAAGGAAAGATTTAGGGATGGGGTTGTAACACTCACTGCCGGAACGGGGTCATCAGTCTGGAGATCGGTGGGGCCCGTGAGGAATTTTCCGCCTTGCTTCTGAAAAAAGGCTCAGACTTAAACTTAGGCTTAGGCTTAGGCTTAGGCTTCAGAAGAACCGCCCCTACCTGGTAGCGTTCGGCTCCAGCTCGGCCCTCAACGACATTGGGAGCAGATTTTCTGTGAGGTACCTGATAACAATACTCTAAAGCTCCCCGTAAAACCGGCCTACCTATATAAACAGGGCAGATCGGCCTTATTTACAGTGTAATACAACAGCTTGTCCTGGTAGAGGAACAGCGCCTTCGACACGCACGGGAACGCCTCTTTCGTCTCGGTGATGAGCGTGTCGATGCAGAGGAAGTTTGGGCCTACAAGAGCGAGCTATTTTAAAATTCTGAAAATTGAAAAACCTGGCAGCGGCTGAAAATCGACGCCTATGAAATAGTTGAGGAGTGGCATGTTGAATAGGCGGAGCTGGGAGAAGTAGCGTCCGAAGAAGTATTCGAGACGCTGCCGGAAGAGCTGCTCGTCGCTGTTCCGGAAATCGACAAACGGACCTGAAAAGTTGTGTTTCCTGAATGATCACTACTAGCCTGCTTTCCCTCTCCTCCAGCAATCTCTCACAGCTTGCCCCTCCCTCTTCCTCAACAATCTCTGCTAGTCTGCCCTCTCCTCTTCCTCAACAATCTCTGCTAGCCTGCCCTCTCTTCTTCCTCAACAATCTCTGCTAGCCTGCCCTCTCCTCTTCCTCAACAATCTCTGATAGCCTGCCCTCTCCTCTTCCTCAACAATCTCTGCTAGCCTGCCCTCTCCTCTTCCTCAACAATCTCTGATAGCCTGCCCTCTCCTCTTCCTCAACAATCTCTGCTAGCCTGCCCTCTCCTCTTCCTCAACAATCTCTGCTAGCCTGCCCTTCTTTTCAAGACTCACCAAAGAAAAGCTTGAACATCCGATAAGCTTCCAGTAATATTGCCCTCAACGTCGGCATGAATATCGTGTACTCAAAATCTTTACACGATTTCCTAAAAAATATTTTTGTATCGTAATCGGTTTGCCCTCTTTATGACTCACTTGTCGAATGCGATGCCGATCAAGAACTCGCAGTTTTCCACCTGTACATAGACCTGGGCCGTCTTCTCCGTCACTACATCACGATACGGGAATTCCTCCTGAAAAATGGGGTTTGTTCATTGAAAAATTCATTACAACTCATTTAATTTTTAAGCTCTAAAGTTTCGTAAAATTAACTTACTTCTGGGATCAACGACGCATCTGTAAAATCGTTCATAAAATTTACGATCGCTTCAGCGAAACCGGTGACTTCAGTCTAAATCGTTTTTTATTCTGCATAAGTTAATGCGCTTTTTCATCATTTTATTACACAAATCTATCTATTAAATCCTATCGAAACTTACTTGTCGATTCAAATCGGGCGGTGCCCCTGGTTGCGTGTAAAAGTACATGACACGCTTGTGCTCCTCGCCCTCCCGCCTCCCGCTGGCCGGATGCGCCACGAAAAAAAAGTCGATCAAGTCGACCACTTGGCACAAGGCGCCCCTTAAAATATAAAAAAATAATATATCTAAAACATAGAATCAAAATATATAAGTTAAAGAATAGATTAACTCACTTGTGCACGGTGGCCGTCGCGTACGAGCCATAGCCGCCAGTGAAGTATTTCAGCGGACTCTGGAGCATGTGGCGATGCTGAAATTGCTTTTATTTTTGCTCTTTACTTTTTAATACTCAAAATCAAAGATAATAAAGTAAAAGCCGTTACAAATTTTTAGAAAAAATTACAAAAACATCCATTTTTCGACCAAAACTAGTCGTTTTTGACCAAAATGTCTACTTTTTAAAATCGTTTAAAATTTTGTAGACAGTTTTGATAGTTGAAATATTGTTTATGTTACTAAACACATTACGAAGATACTTGCTATTAACAAGGGAACCACAAGTTGGCACCGAGGAATTTCGAAAAACGCTCGCGGCTACCCCTAGGTTTTCGACGACGGCGATTCCAACGCGCTAGTCAGAATTAGCTAAATCGCCCTGTGGACAGGGATACAGCACTTCCGGAAAATGGTCAATTTACATTCGGAGGAATTAGCATTCACCTCAGGGTTTATGAGGGCTTCCCATCTCAGAAGAAACACCAGTTGAATGGCCGGGTGGTAAGCGGCTAGCTTGTTAGGATACTGACCAGGGTTCGAATCCGCTCACGACTTTTTTGTTTTGCGTTTTGGACGGAACTTTGAGCAAACCTACAAGCTTTATTTTATTTATTTATTCTCACACAAGGTTAACAAAGTCAAAGCAAAAACTTCAAACTTCTTAAAAGCTACTCGTTCGTTTGAAGGGGGCCGTCGCATGAAAGATGCAATTGCAAAACGTTTTTGCAGGAATCGGCCTCATTACCAACGAATAAAAGCTTTACTATGTGAAAAAATCAAAACTTCTGATAAATTCTTCTGAGATGGGAAGCCCTCATAAACCCTGAGGTGAATGCTAATTCCTCCGAATGTAAATTGACCATTTTCCGGAAGTGCTGTATCTCTGTCCACAGGCCGATTTAGCTAATTCTAACTCGAGGGTTGGAATCGCCGTCGTCGAAAACCTAGGGGTAGCCGCGAGCGTTTTTCGAAATTCCTCCGTGCCAACTTGTGGTTCCCTTGTAAGCTAATAGGCATTTCTAGAATTATACAAAAGCCTCCTCCCGCGATAATGCGAAAGAACCGCTTTAATTTCTCTCCATTTTACACTACAATTTTATAAGATTTCTAAACTTTTAAAACAATGTTGTTTTTTATAGTTCAGAATTGCACATTTCTTTGACATTACGCGATGAAAATCGTAAATTTAGACCGTCAAAAGGAAGGTTCGGTAGTCAAAAGAATTCCGGAATATTTGAGCCTATTCGCCAACTTTACAGGCTTTCTAAGCGTTTTTAATGTTTTAAAAACCTAAAATAAACTTTTATAAACAATGAACAGATACCTTCAGTTGTCAAAATGAAGACTGGGAGGTACGCGGGAATACACGCGCCTCTTCAAAGTGCCGTGTCTGCCATCCCGACTCCCTCACTTTTGCCCCCAAATCTCCCTCTAACATCTGTCTCCCTGCCAATTAATGCATGAAATACACCGCAAACTTCATAAAATCAATAGTGCTCTTTTGAAAGGAAGATTTTGGCCTTTAGAAGTCTTTAGAAATCCTTGATCACTTTTTTATGATGTGCAAAACGGTTTCGAATTTATTTTAAAACGGCTGCCACTGCGAATTAGCGCCTGAAATACAACGAAAATGTCTTAAAATCAAAATGCTCCTTTGAAAATAATTTTTTTGCCATTAGGAATCCCTAGAAATCGTTGAAAACGCTTCTATGATGGGAAATTTAGTTTCGAAAATCGCGCGCGTTTTGCACGTCTTTAGTAAGAGAATTTATATTTTAAGTGCTATGAAAGCTTCTTTGTATATTATATACGCGATTCCCGTTGTATTTTCTATTTTTTTTTTGTTGATTAAACAATTGAAACGACCATTTAGGTGTATGCCTGATGTCTGTAACGCTCCACACAACACTTGGTGACATCAAAGTCGAGCTCTACTGTGATAGGTGCCCGAAGACTTGTGAGGTATGGATTTCTTGATACCGAGACTATTTTCCGGTTTATAGAACTTCTTGGCTCTCTGCGCTTCCGGCTACTACGACAACAACGTGTTCACGCGCAACGTCAGCGAGTTTATGGTACAGACTGGTGACCCGACAAATACAGGTAGGCTTCTCTGGCTTGTCAAAAGAACCTACCTTCTTTAGGAAAAGGCGGACAAAGCATTTGGGGTGGCCCGTTCGACGACGAGCTACACCGGGATTTGAAGGTTGGAATCTTGGAAAAGCGGCTTTTTGAAACCATATTTCCGTCTTTGTATAAGTTTGGATTTCAGCACGACGCTCGCGGCGTCCTGTCTATGGCCAATAACGGGCCGAACAAGAATCGATCGCAGTTTTTCATCACCTACGCCGAGCAGCAGCATCTCGACTTGAAGTACACGATTTTTGGAAAGTGAGTTTTTGAATGGCGAATTGACGCTTTCACAGTATCGGGCAAGGAACAAAATTTTGTCATATAAATCCGGAAGGTCCAGGTCCGATAACTCAAGTCAAAAACTATTCAGGAAATCTAGTAAATGTGAAACTTCTAAATTTTAGGCAAAAAGGATGCTTTTCGATTTTTTTAATCAGAAAAATTGTTAGTTTATGCGTTAAGGAATAGTAGAAAACGGCGTCGAAAATTTTGAATGTAAAAGTTTGCTCCCCCGGTCTTGCGAAAACAACCCGATGATTTCCATCAAACTTATTTTCAGGGTAATCGACGGTTTCGACACTTTGGAAGAGCTCGAAGTGCAGCGCGTCGATGCCAAATACAGGCCCCTTGTGGAGCAGCGCATCCGCGATGTTACGATTCACGCCAACCCTATTGCGGAGAAGCTACTCCATGACTAGGTGCGTTTTTTTCTTAAATCTATTCTAAGTGTTTTAGGGCGCTTCAAAAAGCTCGTCCCTTCTCCACCACAACCCCATCAACACCCATTTCTCCTTTATCTATAACCCAGCCCAGCCCCGTCCTAGAAAGTGAGCAGCAGAAGAAAATTCGGCAAATGCAGGAATATTTTAGGTAACTGAGATTTTTGGTTTTTTTTTACGTGTTTTTTAGCCAATACATCGAAGAGTACTATGAAGTTGATGATGTTGTGGAAGAGCCTTTTGTTCCCAAACTCGAGGAAAGAACCAGGTTTTTTTATTTCTCCGTCGTTAACTATTTTTAGGCTCGTAAACATTGAAGACGTGATTTCCCTGCTTGAAAAGGAAAAGGCAAAGGATGTTAAAGTAAGCTTTTTTATGGTATAATCGTTTTTAATTAAGGTTATTGATCTCACTTCCGTCATGGCCTCCCCCTTCGACTATATGACCATTTGTTCGCCGATCAACCCCAGACACGGCAAGGCGTTGACCGAGCGAATTAGACAGTGAGTTATCTAAAGGAGATGTCGTAATAAAATATAAAATATTATTTTATCCATTTTTTAGATCCCTAAAATTGAACGACGACGGCGACTCGGTGAATAGACAACGTGTACTGCATTCCACGAATTCCGGCTGGTTCTGTGTGGAAGTGAACAAAATTCAGGTACATTTTTGGAAAAGAACGTTTTTTGGTGCTTCTGGTAAGGCGGGGGATGCGAATTTTGACGTTTCCGCCTCACAAATAGATTTTCATAAAATTCTTAAACGTTTTTCGTTGCTCACGAATTTTGAAAAATATTTTGACCTTTTAGTGCCTTTTAAAACGTTTTTGACCAAAAAATGTGATTTTTTTCTAGTCTCGATCTATGATAAAAAATGGTAGGATGCTAGAAAGACGTTTTATATAGAGTGAGATTACGGGATTTGGGGACAATGCCCCCCCCGCTAAACGAGAAGCACACGATTTTTTAGCCTAAAATTCCCGAATTTCCAGATCCACGTCATGTCGACGGAAGCGCGTGCGCGATACGATCTCGAGTCGCTGTGGGAGGTGAACGAGAATGAGGATCAAGCCGAGGCTTCATGGGTTGATGACGTGAACGTCCTGCCTCAAAATAAATAATGGATTCAATTCTGCGCTCGCTGCCCATTTTAATCCCCTTCCCTCCCCGTCATCTGCTCACTTATCGATCTTGTTATTTATCTGTTATCCATTTTTTCGCGTTGATAAATGATTCTGCATAATATTTTCATTGGATCACAATGAGGGTTGTTAAACCCGGTTAATTACATATTTATAAAAAAAACTAACAATATTGAACCCGATTTGATACATATTTATCAAGAAATTGAGAATTTATCTATTCATTTTGGGAAGTAAAGTTTTAAGCAATACGTTTTGCTTTTTTAGTCTGGAATACTAGAATTACCCATGACTTACTAAACATTATATTAATTACCCGAGTTTCAGCGACCAATCACACGATGCCGCACCCGTCCTCCGTCCTCATCACCGGCGCCAATCGAGGCATCGGCCTCGGGCTAACGAAGGAGTATCTGAAGCTCGACGCCGTCAAGCACATCTTCGCCACGGCGCGCAACCCCGACAAGGCCGAGGCGCTCACCCAAATCCGGGATCCGCGGCTGAAGGTGCTGAGAATGGACGTGCAAGATGTCGCCTCGATCAAGGCTGTCTACGAGCAGGTCTCGCGAGTCGTCGGCGACTCCGGCCTCAATTTGTTGATCAACAACGCCGGCATCTGGACGAATTACGCGGTCGCTGCCGAGCCCGACCCGGCGGCGCTGCTCAACATTCTACACACGAACGCCGCCTCGCCCCTCATCGTCAGCCAGATCTTTCTGCCCCTCATCCGCAAATCCGTGGCCCATGGCGGCGAATGGGGCGCGCGGCGAGGCGCGATCATCAACATCAGCTCGGGCATGGGATCGATCGGCGAGAACACGTCGGGCAGCGGGGCCAACCACTCGATTGCCTATCGCATGAGCAAGGCGGCCCTGAACCAGATGATGAAGACGCTGGCGGTGGATCTGAAGAAGGAGGGCATTCTGTTGGCGGCTTTCTGCCCCGGATGGGTACAGACCGATATGGGAGGCAAGAATGCTGCCACTACGGTAGACGATTCGGCTGAGGCGCTGGTGAAGACGATCGGCTCATTCGACGAGCAGCACACTGGCGGTTACTTCCGGCGTCACGGCGACAGGATCGAGTTCTAAGAAAGGCCCTCCTATCTTTGTGTCTGTGATAATTTTGTACTTTTTCGATCGTTGCCTCTTAGTATTGTGTCTACCTCCATTTGACTTTGTAGCGTTTACTTCTGCCATATATCTTCCTTCCCCCATCTCAATTTTGCCATCCACTTCTCCAGCCTTATTTCTGCCGGTTTGTCGACTTTTTTTGGGTATTTCGATAGGCGCCTTCTCACTTTGCAATAAATATATTTCAGCAAAAAAAAGCAGCTCAGACGATGGCCTCCGACGAGTATGGAGGCCTTCTCAATACGACTGCCCTCCGGAAATTGTACAAAGTCGAACGGAACGTCATCGACCCCGCAAAAGTGGTATGGATTTTCAGAAAAAAATAGATCTGCTCTTTCCAGCACCGCATCAACGACTTTTCCCGGCCTCGCCCGACTAGCGATGACCTGGTGGCCGTGCTGAAGAATGGGCACGCTCGATTTGCCTATGTCGACAAGGTAATAGCGTACTTATCGAAACCTATTGTCTTTTTTGAAATTTCCGGCGCTGTATATCTTTTTCATTTAATAACGTGGCTGTTTATAGACTTCACACAAGGCCTACCTCTACGGCGAGTTCTACGGCATGATGTTGTCCGCGGAATTGGTGCAAAGCGGCAACAAGGTCCGACGATTGGTGGATGAGGTTTGTTTTTTGATAAAGTTCAGGACTACTTCTTTTTTAGACATACCTCGTCGAGCGCGGATTCACTGAAGGCGAGACGGTGGTACGATACGAGAACGAGCACCCGCTCGGCGACCCGCTGGCCATTTGCCGCGAGACGAAAAAGGGACAGCTGGGCAAGATTATTGCCTGCAAAGTAAGGATTTAAAGATTTGCGTCTAAAAAGACGGGGAAATACCGACACAAAATTCCGATAATCCCCGAATTTCGGGCACCAAAAATCGAACTGAAATTTTTTAAAAATTTCTTTAGCATTTTCGCTTGTCGATACCTAAAACCAAAAGTTTTTCGATCATTCTCAAGCTGTCGGCATTTTTACTTTTCGGCATTTAGTTGTCGACATTATGGCCCAATTTCTTTGCCGTTTACATACATTTTGTAGCGCCGTGGCGATGTCATCGGGCTGCCCGACCGCAGCAAGGTCGCGCACAACATCGACCTGGGCAACGTCGAGATGGTGCTCCCATGGTGAACCGGACGCTTTTTGCGTTACATGTCTTTAGTTCGAAATCTACAACCGCAACGCGCCGCACAACTACGTGATGTACAAGGACTGGATGGGCGATATTACTAACATGACCACCGAGGTCACGCTACTCTACAACAAGCAGGCGTGCGTTTTTGGCGTTGGAACTGGAATTACATCAAAATTATGAGAATGTTCATAATTCTATTTTTTATCAAAATTTCAAATGTTTAGAGCTTTCTAAAAATGTTTTTCGGATTTAGACTATTCAAATCGCAGTTTGAAACTGCAGGAACGTTTTACCCGAATAGCTATTAAAATAATTTCAGTTTCATTCTACTCGACGATTGCCGCGTGAACATCACGAGAAGACACAACGTCGACTCGCCCGAAGTACTGCGTCCCCGGCGAGATCATCAAGATTTCCGTCGCTGATGCCTTGTCGACGAAAAAGTGCACGGTAATTGGCGTCCCTGTTTTAGATATTTCTTTTTAGTGGCCAAATGGTCCGCCACCGGCCCTTCGCTCATCGCGCCGCACCACCGGAACCAGGCTGATTACTGTCCGCGTTCTAAAGGTATATTTTTCAGTTTTTAAGTTACCTTGAAATTTATCCCAGGTCGAGCCCGCTTCGCTGAATGTGCGCTGGATACACTCGCCAGTTTCCGTCGAACGGCCCGAGCGCGTGATCCCGAAGGAGAATTTCCATTTGTCAGTTTTCTTGTAATTTTTTTTGATCAATTTTGCCGCTCCCAGGTTGACCCGCATCAACATGAGCACCAACTACGTGGCGTCAGCCGATCGCGTGATGGTGCGGCTCACCGACGCGGACCAGGTAAACTATTTGATGTGGCTGAGCCAACGTTTCTCTTTTCTCATTTAGGCCACCACTCTTACCAACTACAATCGCAGCATCGACGAGGACTACCGCTGCAAATTTGAGGTATTTTTATAAGGGTTTTTGGTCAATATTGATAGCAAAATTCTTCTGATGTTTTTATGCTCTTTTTTAGCCGTTACCAACAGCCCACAAGAAGCCCTCCACCTCAACGGACGGGCCGGTGTCGAAAAGCGGAAGGATGGATGTTGGCTTGGTGGGATTTATCAATTTCCAGAATTTTTAGTTTGATTTGTTTTTTTATAACTTTTACATGGTTTATGATTATATTATGTTCATTATATATTTATTGAATTTATTTTCGCTCACTTTGTCCCATTCATTTTTTTCATTGTTAGGAAGAACACGCTACCCCATCGGCACAAACCGCCGTCAAACTCGAGGCCATCCCCGAACACCCCGCCGAAATCGAGGAAATGGTAAATTTTATAGAACTAAAGGGATCTAAAGTTTTCAGGACACCACCGCCTCGACGCTGCCCGATACGCGCTCGCGTAAGTCCCGCTATGGTGCCCGGAAAAAGCGGCGGATGGCCGTCACCCGGGCCACGGACCCCGTGCACAAGACGATGCGCTTCCGGCCCGCCAAGCAGGTCTTTGGCGACACGTTCATTGGAGAGGTGAATTATTGACCGTTGGATCAGATCGACTGTACTGTTTCAGGTGCTGATCACTCGCTCGCTGTTCGACGTCGAGTGGATGAACGGGACGATCGAGCGCGACATCCCCGGCTACAACCTGGTGCCCATGGACCCTGATCTTGATCAGGAGCATCATCTGCCCGAAGAGGTGGTCGCGAGAAAGGAGTCCCCGGATGGTGAGTGGGGTTCTTGGTTGAAGTGCGGCTAGAATGCCGACAATGAAAAGGCCGACATGCCAAATGCCGACAGTCCGAATATCGATGTCTTGAGAACAAAATTGATGTCGAGTCTTCGCTTGTCGGCATTTGGGGTCTGGCAGATTTCTAAATGTCGAAATTTCGGCTTTTCGGGATTTTTGAAGTCTCCTGGTTGCCTTGTCGGCATTTGGCTGATCGGAAATAAACATCGACATTTTGACTTGTCGGCATTTTAATATAATTTTTGGAGTTAGATTGAGTATTATTAATTTAATTTGATGCTTAGTTTAAATGCTGCTTTCAGAAACCGAATTCGGCATCATCCTATCGACGGACCAGCAGGAGCGCTGCACCCAGGTCAAATGGTTCAAGGATGTCGACGGGACGCCCGTCGAGACCGGCATCGAGACGTGCACCCTTTTCGACATTATGCCCCACACTCGCCTTCAAAGGTCTGCACGCGAGGCTAAATTTTTGACATCACGATTTTTCAGGCTACACGTTGGCTCCCTCGGAGTCGTGCTGGAGCACCAGTCGAACGAGCTGCGCGACAAGGTCTTCCAGGTCAAGCAGCACTTGCAGACCGGGAAATCGAGGGTCGTCTACCTGAATGGGGAGCACGCCGAGCTGTGGCCCAGCCAGATGGAGCCGTACGTTGTTTTGCATATGCTGAACTTCCGGTTTAATTATTAATTCGATTTTTACCTTAAATGCGCATCTGAGAAATGCTTTTCCAGGTTCTTCATGGAAGAGGACATCATGGACAACGCCAACCCATTCTTCGACGGCGAGGACTACGACGAGGGTACGAGTGCGACCCGCTCGTCCGGCGAGGAGAGCAGCACCGATGGTGATGACACGGACGAGGAGAGTGGCTGGCGGCCTGTAGAATCTGTCGTCCCGCAGGAGCCGCTCTTCCCGGGCGCGTACGCGACGGATCCGTCCCTTCAAGAGCTCCTCGACCAGTACCTGAGCTCGATCCCTGAGCACGAGGCCAAGGGGCTAGTGGTAGGCGTTTTTCTTGGATTTTTATAATTTCCGGATAATTTTCATAAACCACAATTTGGGGGGGGGATTTTGGAAGGGCAAGTTTTGGGACGTTTCAAAACTTTCCGAGGATCAATTTTCCTAAAAAGTTTTTTAATCGATTGTGGGAAATCTCGATTTTTAGAACTTCAAAGCATCGCCACCCCCGTTCGTTTTCATGAACTGCACCGGACCGTTCCCGCGCATCCTGGCGAGTGGCGCCTACGTCAACGAGGTCGTCACCACGCCGCACATGTACCCCGTCACCATCGAGCACGTCATGGAGCGGTCCAAGTACTGTACTCTTACTGATTTTTTACTTCCAACTGCTTTATTTAAATGTTCAAGTTTTTGCTTTCAGATTTGCCGGCTTTGCTGCCAACTTCAACGAGCCGACGCTGCTGCTCTACCTCTGTTCGTACGCCGAACTTCAGGTGGGTGGCATTCGGCTTGAATTAGAGCTCTTTTTCAGCACTACCCAATCATCGGCCCGCTGCGTGCCCTGTTGCGGCTCTTCGACGCCCTCCTCGCCGTCGATCCGATGGTCGAGCCGGGCACGCTGCAGAACATCTTCAAGACGGACACGCTGTTCACCGAGGCGCTCCCCACGGACTTGTGAGGATTTTTAGTTTTTAAGTAACTTTTAAACGAAAAAAGGGAGATATAAGGTTCCTAAATTTCCTCTTTTTATTGTTATAATTTTCATAATTTTTGAATTGAGTCTACAAGAAAATTTTTACATTTGGTTTTACAGTTCAGGAAGGTATTCTGTAGTCTAAAGAAATCCAAAACTATCAAAATCAGAGCTAAATTACGGTAAAAATTAATTTAGTATTTTGTTACTATCATGCTTTATAATTATCATATTATCACTACTAGAATCCCACCACGAGTCTTTTTCAAGTGTGAAATTTTGTTTTTCTCAAGAAAACAAGTTTCTGGCCAATGTTTATTCCATTAGCTCGTTATTTACAAGCTATAATAAGGGGTCGAGGTGGAGCAAAAATGTGGGGGGGGGGTGGGTGTAAAAATTGCGACATAAAACCCTGGGACTCGTATCGTCTCGTCGGGGGGCCCGTTTATTGTCGTCGGCGTGGGGTGGGCTGTCTAAGTGGACTTCTTGATGTCGACCGGGTAGTACGGCTTCTGATCCTTGAGGCATTTGCGGTGCGCGTCCATCAGCGCCTTGCAGCCCTCCTCTGCGCCGCGGTCCGACAGGCACTCCTCGAGAGCCTGGAAATGTTATATGGTTTTTGCTTTTCTTAGTTTTTTTGGCTATTTTGAACAGCTTGAACGTCTCGGAAATGTTGGAATGTATCTTTTCGTCGTTTCGGACACGTTCAGATAAATTGGAACAGTTTTTTCGAGGGACCAGAGGCTTGTTGCTAGGTTGGTCCGACGTTTTCGAGAAGTTCAGAGAAATCGTAACGGCTTTAAAAAAGATTGATTTTGTAATTTTTAGCGGGTTTGGAGATTCCAATTTTTTGAGATTGTCGGATACGAGCTTTTGGGCTATTTCGAAAAGTCCAGTGATGCTAGCTTTCCGACGTTTTCTACAGTTAGAACAAAAAGACGCTTCTACTGCAGTGTTTTAGATTGCTGGAACTTTTCCGAAATTTCGGATAAGTTTTTTCGTCGTTTTGGACAAGTCAAGAGGGAAAATGCCAACTTGTCGAATGTGTCGTAAATTGGTTTTCAGTTTTTTTTTCGGAAAAGTTCGCAGCGTCGGACATATTTTTTAAGCTTTTCTCGAAGCTAGCTTACCCGTCGGGTGAGCTGGCACGGGTCGGCGATGGGGCGGTTGTTGCTGTAGGGGTAGTTGGTTTCCTGAAACGGATAGATGCTTTTTAGGCTATTCAATTATTGACAAACACACAACCATGCAAATTTGAGAATATCCAGATTCTAGAAGTTGTGTTTTTTTACTTTGACATGACACGTAAGTCTTATATACATAAACTCGATGCTTGCTACATGCATAGTTCAAACAATAATTACCGAGGTGTCCTTAACGGTGAAGTCCTGAAAAATGTGGTGATATTTTGGGCTTGGACTTGGCTTTTAGCTTTGACTTAGCTTAGTTTTTAGCTTGGGCTAGGCCTAGGCTTTGCGCTTCTGCTCTGCTAACCGATGTCTAGATCTTGCTTAGGCTTTGCTTCGACCGCGGTTTGGCGTATGCTCAGACTTAGAGTTATTTGTAGTTTTGAAAATGTTTAAAAATGTAAAAAATGTTGTTTTTTTTCAAATTGAAAACATAGTTCTAGACTGATACTAACAGAAAATTGCTTGGATTTGATTGTAGGCAGTCAGTCGAACTTCTTGAATATGACGGCGCATTGAAAGTTCAAGAACGGAATCGATAACCCCAGAAAAATGGCAAAAAAAGTGAATTTTCCCCGCTTACCTTGCCCTCCTGCTTCGATTCGGCGGAACCCATGGTGATTGATTGATTAGTAAATCGGTGGTAGTGATAGTCAAATAGTAAGTGAATAGACAGCTGGTTGAAGGCTGACTGTGTGGCTCTACGGGGCCCACGGATTGATTTTAAAGGGAGGGGCGGACCTTGTTTTTTGCTTACTGAAAGAAGGGGGACCCTGCGGTCGGTTGGAAAAGGGCATGTGCCGGCCGAGTGGTAAACAACCCTCTCCGCGTCGCTCCTCCGGCTTTCTCTCTCTCTCTCTCACTCTCACTCTCTCTCTACTCTCACTCTCTCGCTTTCTCTTTCTCGGCTGGGGCCCCGGGTTGTTTACGTCGTTTCCCCCCGTTTGCTCAACGGCTGGCTGGCCGCTGCTGGCTGCTCTCGGTGGTGGATCGAATGTACCCAGTTGGTCTGGACGGGAACAAACATATTTTGGGGGGGTTGTTGGTTTTGTTCGAGCTTTAACTTGTGGAAGCTTCTGGGGGACCGAGTTGGAGAAGCGCGGCCGTTCGTAGATGATATTAACCTCGATTATTTTGGGTTTAAAGGGACCTGGAAGCTGTCCCTTTTTTGTGATGATTTTTGCCGTTTTGTTAAAGGTGCCGGGACAGCTAAAAAGATACAACCTGTCTCGCTCCTCTAATTCGGCCGTCCGATGGTGTCAGGCTGCTCTTACTGTATTTTTCTTTCTTCTAATTTTCCATTTTTAAGGTGGGGTGACAGCAAGGGCAAAATTCTTTTTTTAAATAAAACGTATTTTGTCAACAAAACGGTCAACAAATCGTTTTCCTTGATGCTTTTCGTCTAGACGACGGCTTATTGTCTTTCCGATTTGTTGATGGTTTAATAGGGCTGTTTTTTAGGGTTGTCGGACTTGTTGTTGTTATTTATCATCATCCGCCTCGAATACATCCTACCTCAAGCCCTCTGGCACTATCGTCAACATTTGAATATATTTGCGAGACTGCCCTTTCCGTTCCTCGGAAATATTTACGAATTTGCATACGGACAGCTGTCCTTGGGTGTTTGAGACACTAAATGTCCCCTTATGGTCCAGAGATCAGATTTATTTTTTTAGGACGTAAATTCAATTTCGAAATTCTATTCTTTAAATTTTTAATTTAGTTTTGTTAAGAATGTCTATATTTTTGCAACAATCGTTTTTGCAGGCAAAACTACCCGGACCTCGTCGGCCTCTACACGGCCTGGAAAGAGCAGGCCGCCCCCCACCGAGGCGAGATCAAGAAGTTCGAGCTCGGCCTCATTTGCACAAAGTCGTTTTTCCCCAGGTTTTCGGCAAAAACACCATTTTTTAGATGGCTGCTGAGCACGCGGGATCAAATGCTGACCCCCGAGCACGTCAAGGAGTTCAACGAATGGGTGCTGGCTAGGCATCCGGAATTGAAGGTACGGAATTTTCGAAGCTGTATGGCCTTAAATTCTAAAAATTATAATTTTAATGCCTGAAGTTCTGCTTTTAAAATTTGAATTGTTCTGGTTTTAAAATTTGAATTTGAATTGAAAGTTTCAGAATTTTAAATGTTTGTGTCGATTTTGTCCTTCAGCTTTCACTGGATTTTTTTTCAGGAAGAAAGCCACGATGCCGAACCCGAAAACGCTGGAGACGTGACAACAAATGAAGTGCAAAACTCGGAGGAGAACGAGCCTGAGCACGAGGTAAAGTTTGGTTTTCCCACAATGGTTTCCTTCTTTTTTCAGTCACCCATCCCATCTACGTCTGCCGGCCAGCCCGAGAAAAAGCCGACCGTCATTGTAAGCCTTATAGCATCGAATATAACAATTTTTTAGTCTGTCCCCACCTGTCCGGTCGGCCATCATTATCTCGGATTTGGCGTTCTGGGTATCCCGGTGAGTCAACGATAGTTTTCTAACAATCCGGATTTTCCAGGCTTGGAAGAAGCGCATCGGAAAGGAGTTGTCCAGGCTTCACGCCGACCTACCGGAGGGCATTTTTGTGATCACCTACGAGGATCGGTGAGTTTTGACGAGTGCGAAAGTTACGATTGAATTTCCAGCTTCGACCTGCTCTCCGCCATCATCACGGGCCCGACGATGACCCCGTATGAGGCCACCCCGTTCCTGTTCGACATCCATTTCCCGGATCAGTACCCGGTTGCGCCACCATTGGTAGGTTTTTTACATTAAAATTACGTACTTTTAATCTACTTGACTTGTTAACTTAATTTTTGAAAAATCGTGACCTGATTTCACCTAATTTACGTGACTTATCGGAAAATTTACTTTATTGCCCAGTTAGGGTTATAGACGTAAATCCTACTATAGATAAAAAAGTAGTGTCTGTGTGTGTGTGTGTGCCACTTTGCATGCAACTTCCGTCACCATGTCCGGAGGCGATCTCGATAGGGGATGAATTTTATGGCACGTATGATACGTCATTAGGTGCGTAATGGCTCTGGGATGACTGCACGCTTATCAGATTTTACAAAAAAAAGCTATTTTCGACATTAAATTTAAGTTTTTATGAAAATTCGGTTCTCCCTCTTTGTTAGGAAACAATTTGCATGCGCCGGAAGTGGCAAAAGCCTATATAAAGGGACAGAAGGGGATGTTTTTCATTTTTCGGGATGGTATTGGTGAACACATATTCAAAGTGCAGAATATCATCGGATCAGACGGGGCCAGGGTTGAAAAGTCGCGAAGCGGCTTTTCAACCCTGGTAATTATGATATTTACTTTGTTAATGATACCTCTAGGTCCACTACAAAGCCTTCTCCGAGGAGCAGCTCAACCCGAACCTCTACCAGGCGGGCAAAGTCTGCACGAGCCTGCTCGGTACTTGGGACGGAGTGGTTCGTTCGATTTTCATTGTTCTAGAGCTTTCCTTTTTTTCAGGGTGTCGAAAAGTGGGACTCGCAAAAGTCGAACCTCGTCCAGGTGCTCGTCTCCATTCAAGGTATCGTCATCGTCGTATTAAAAAACCTCGCTTTTAGGCCTGATCCTCGTCCCGGAGCCCTTCTTCAACGAGGCCGGCTATGAGGAGCGCAAGATTTTGCCGGGGAGCACCGACAACTCGAAGAGGTACGAGAAGGCCATTCCGTTCATTGCCTCCATACGTTTAGGTACAACGAGACGGCCATGATCAACTCGCTGCACTACCTCATCAAAATCTACAACTCTGGCCCACGCGAGATGATCGATGTCATCCGGGGAGAAGTGCGAGAAAAGTGGCCAATGTGGGTTTTTTTAAGACTTCTGGCAGTCTTTACAGCTTTTAATCAGATTTATTAAACCCCGCCTTTCCAGGCTTCGCGCAGAAATCGACAGCTGGCTGGCCGGCACTGAGCAGCCCGGCTTCCCTACGCTGATGAGCAAGGGCTTCCAGATCACGCTCGGCCGGATGAAGCAGCGCATCGACGAGATGCTGGCCGCTTAGGTTCCGTTTAGATACCCTGAATGTTGCCTTTCATTAATCTGCGTAGCACCCCCGGTTTTGATTGTCCATCCCTTTACATCCGTTTGTAAATCGTGGGTAAGTAGCGTGTGTTGGCGATTGTCAAGTAGTTAATGGGAGCATAGTACCCCGGTTCTGGTGCGTTAGCGGGGGGCTGCTAGAAAGCGATAAGAATGGTCAAAAACGAGAGTAAATCTCAAATTGTTGAGTTTTGAAGTTTTTACAGGTTTTTGTCTAAAAAGAGTTTTAAAATGGTCCCTTTTTCGCCGGAGCCTCCCCCCCGCTAACGCACCAGCACCGAGTTTCCCCTTCTCGAATTTGATTGTCCCTTTAAAAACTGGTCGACGAATTTGTTCACATGTCCCTCTCGGTCCAATGCGCCCCTCCCCCTCTGGCATATCATCTCGGCTTGTGATTCCCAGCCGTTCTCGTACGTACTTGCCGTGTCGCACCCACCCGTTCCATTAATACGTCGTACCCTCCTTTTGCAACTAGCACCCAAATAAAGTTTTATCACACAAGACGAGGGAGAGAGAGATAGAGCAGTGAACAACGGCGCGTAACAGCGAAATCTATACTACAAACACTAATGGTAGACTTGAGGATCATTCGGAGGAGTCGCCGCCCAGCTCGGCGCGCGCGAAATCGAGAACCTTGGCGTGGTGTCCGGTGACGTATCTGGAAAATGCACTTTTTAAAAATATTTTTAGATTTAAAACTAAAAATTCAAGAAAATTTTCAAAACTCTTTCAACTTTCAAATCTTTAACTCAAATTTTCACCTTTTTAAAAAATGCGAAAAAAGTTACAGTAAATGAAAACAAATCAAATTAAAAAATTACAGATTAGACCCGGAAATGAAAAGCCCCACGAAACCCACTCGTAAACAGTTTGGCTCGGGTTCAGCATAAAGGCCTGGCGCAGCAGCTGCGTTTCTTCAGCATCAATATTTGTGGTCTAATAAGGTGATTAATCATTTAAAATATCTAAAACCCTCACCTGTCCCTTGAAAAAGTCGTTCAAGTCGTCCTGGTTATCGACGGCTTCCTCCTTTTTCGTGTCCTTTGACTGGACGGCCGGGGTGCCGAGGGTTTCACTAAAAATACGATAAAATTAACCCGCCAATTAATTCGCAGAAATGGAAGTGTTGTATTAGCTAAAATCGACCTCCTCATCCCAATAATATGCTGGCAGAGCTGGTTGGCAAGACGTTCAGTGGGGAATTGCGCGGAGGGCTGAAATTGCTTTTCAAAAAATTGTTCTAAAAATTACCGCTCTAGCAATGGCAACAACGGAAACGAAACGGCCCATCGGATACTCGTCGGTGCCCTCTAAAACAGAATTTATTAAAAAATCAGTTAAATAATTATATCTAAAAAAGCGATTACAAGTTCTAACAATCACCTTTCGGATGTGAGCCGCCGTACAGGACTGACCCCTCGGGGGCATAATAGGCCTCGACGCGCCGCATCGAAATATTTTCACCGAGTCGCCCGACGGCCATTGCCACGATTTCCTAGAAAAAAATATTTGTAAATCCATGTATAGATACCTTTAGTGTTTTCCCGTCATCCGATTTCACTGTCTCGACATCTGAAAAACATTATTTTTATAGAAAGAGCCTTACCAAAATTCTGCTTTTGCAGGGTCGAGCCGCTTGAAGCCACAGTTTTTTCGGCATGCTGTAGGGTTGCGTCAACTAGCGTGCGCAACTGAAAAAAAACGGATAGATACATTTGCAACGATTCGTTTTACCAAGTCCTTGAATGGGTCCCCTCGAGCGACAAAATCCGTCTCGCAGCTCAGCTCGACGATGGCCGCGGTCTACAAAACACAACAGAGATTTTTAAAGTTTTAATACCTTTCCAGCAGCTTTCACGCCCACCAAACCCTGAGTTGTCTGACGGCTCGATAGCCTAAAAAAATACTTATCAAAACGAATTAGAAAAATTACTTGGCAGCCTTCGCCCAACCCTCCTTCTCCGCGTTTTGTCGCAGCCACTTTTCCGCTTCCGCCAAGTCGGAGCCTAGAAAAACACGCTGATGCTTGCGTAGGAAAGATACCGAACTGAACCAACGCCTTGCGACAATTCACATAGCTGTATCCGGTCTTCTTGCGCAGTTTGGCTAGAGACTAAAAAAATTCGTACCGTTTTTAGTGCGGTTTAGCTATATGCGAAGTGGAAAATCACTTAGAAAGCTTCAAAAACAGTCTACGAATCAAAAAAATTTTCCAAAAAATCGAAAGTCTTGATTTTTCGCGTTTCGGAATGATGACAAACTGTTTACGCTTCCTGGTTCGCCTTAACGATTTAATTATACGCAAAATTAGCCCCGGAAATCGTAACGAACCAAAAATTTAAATTAAAATAAACTCGACCTCCGGCGCTATTGCGGTTTGCTGGCCCCACCTATATCGGGCCAAAACTGATTGTTTCCGGGCTAGTTTTTTGCGTTGATTACGAAAAACACTGCCGCAGTTCGTAAAAATGTGCGTTAGTAAAACTTATAGCTACATATATACGTTTTTATACCAATTTATACCGGTTCACGGTACTCGCCCAAAAGGCAGTTTGTGTGATAAAGTCGGTAAATAATTACCAGAAACTAATTTCTCGCGCAGAAGTGGGCTTGTAGCGTTGTCAGGCAAGGCGGGCCGTCGCTTCGGATGGGCTGCCGCTCCACTCTTTCGAAATCGGGGCGCCTGCCCGCTACGCGCGCCTCGGGCGCCCCGATTTCGAAACCCTGTTCTCAGCTCACACCCATCCCGAAACGATTAGGCCCAGGGTGGCACGAAGCCTTATTTTTAGGTAAAAACGGTTGCAATGAACTAATTTTCTTGGAAAAGTTTTTCCACCAGTCTACAGGCCTCTCAATTCAAATCTAGTTATCCCGTGCAAACCCAAACCTAAAATATAAAAATGTAGTTTGTTTTCCTGGAAAACAGAACTTTCGCGCTTCGGGATGTGGTTTTTCGTAATCAGCGCAAAAAACTAGCCCGGAAACAATCAGTTTTGGCCCGATATAAGTGGGGCCAGCAAACCGCAATAGCGCCCGACCTCCTTGTCAATCTTCACCGGGGCTTCAGCAGCAGACGCCGCGGCGGCCAAGCCTCTAACCGCCAGCCGGGAGCCGGTGAACAAGCGAAGCATACCCTGAAATCATAATTTTATCTATGCAACCTAGGAAAACGAAAACGCAAACAGAAAACAAATCAACAAAAACAAGGTAATACGTAAGAGTCTGAGGGAACCCGTAAAGAGACAACAATGCAAAAGATAAAAAAGCCATAAATTCGGGGTCTATTCCTTCCATCGGTGTTTGCACTCGTGGTTCGCGCATCTGTAGAAGATTGTCATCGGCTCGTCAGCACTTCTCGTCTAAAGGATATAAAAGTTAGATCTCTTTTACTTCGGATTCTCGGGTCATCCCCATTAATAGATACTGGCCACAGCGACGCTTTAAAAATAGCCAGAAAACTGTCTGAAAAGTTGAAATCTTGATCATTTCTAGTCGAAAACTCGATTTTTTTTCGACCTGAAACCAGAATTTTTGCCAAAATTGGTAGTTTAAAATCCCCTCCAAAAATCCTAAAGCGCCTAGAAGACTTTAAAAACGCTCACCTGCAACTGCATGAAATACGCGCGTTCATTCGAGCATTTCGGGCACCGCTCCTCCGTCGACTGGGCGTTTTCCCAGGCCGCTGTGTCGCTCAGGATGTCGCCGAGCTCCTTCATTTTTGGGTAGATCCGGCTGCCAATCTGGAAAGAATATCGATATGCTTCTTACAAGCTTTGAGAGGTTAAAAATCGAGCTTGAAAAGCTTTAAAAACCTTAAAAAACGTACCTTGCTCGTCACCGGCACCACATACGTGCACGTTGGGCACGACAACTGCATGTTTGACGACCCCTCCTCGATCTCGAGCATCATCCCGCACGACGGGCAAAATGCCAGCATGGCCTAAAACTATTTTTACCACTTTTTCTACCACCAAACTTTACAAAATAAAATAGAACCCCATATTTAGTTCGCGATTTTCAGAATTTCATGGCAGACTACACAGGACATCAAAGCACACCGGGTAGCTGTGGGCACTGTGCAATCCCTAGTCGCGATTTCAAAGTTTCCGAATTTGTGCAGAATCGGTTATTCCTTGATGTGGATACGGGCCGGTTTTTCGCCCTCAGGATCCGTGAGTCCAGGGGCGCGCCTTAGCAGTGACAGCCGTTTATGCCGCGTAATGCAACTGATTACTCGATGTTTTGTTGAAAGAAAAACTATTATAAGTGTAACAAACTATATTGCTTTGATCTCAAGTTCATTTTATCCACAATATTATTATACTAACGTTCAAAAGAGCACATTGTATATATTTTTGCAGGTCGACGCTTTACAACGGGCCGCTCAATTCTTGCTTGCTTGCATGTAGAAAACAAAATACTTGGAAAGCATCGTGCAGGAATCTACATGAAGACAATATCAAGTATGTCGTCGAGTCACCTAGCTTATTGGCTCGATCGCACGGCTACTACGAATGCTCCAACAATAAGCGCGACGCTGAAAAGCTTGAATATGACGAGGATGGATCAGGATTGACAAAGGCATTCTAAAACCAGATATGCGACTTGTGACTTGATGGTATTCAGCAAGAAGAAGCTCTCAGGCCGCACTTCCAAGCGATGCACGATAAAAAGTAGGGGTTACTATGCTCACATTTGTCAAAAACGCAATTATGAAACGCTAAGGTTTTTCTGTGGAACGAGGAAGTTTTCAAACAATGGGTTAGACGGCCAGAATGCAAGTCCAAAACGTAGGCTGCCGTTCTTTCTTTCGAAAGTAAATTTCCGGTTCACACGGTTATTAGCGTTGTACCTTACGCTAGCGGGTATTGGGCATCGGCTGACATTGTGGAAAGCGAACAGGATAACTGCACTGTCGTGATTCCGAATTCCTCAGAGCATATCTTTACACATATAAAATACTTTCATCAGAGGTCGAATGATGAGTCTGGAGTGCTAGCGGTCAAATATTGGGTACAATTCAAATAGGCGGGGGAAAGATTTAGGCGGGGGAAACCGAACTTTTTTCCGCCCAATCCTATATTTTTTATATAAATAGTGGAAGTGTTTCTAAATTGTTTATAGCTATTCCTAAACATAAAAACTTTACAAAACTTAATTAAAAAATTTAATTTTAGGTCGAAAACTCAATTTTTTTGGCCCGAAAATGACCAAATTTTCAACTTTTTCAAGCGTTTTTCTAACTTTTAAAAAGTTTTTCCGATTCAGATAGGCTTAAATTTTGCTAAAAACAATGTGAAAACACTTTATATTTGATTACTATCCCCACCAGGGCCGACAAAAAAAGTTGGTTTCCCCCCGCCTAAATCTTTCCCCCCCCGCCTATTTGAATTGTACCCAATATTTGACCGCTAGCACTCCAGACTCATCATTCGACCTCTGATGAAAGTATTTTATATGTGTAAAGATATGCTCTGAGGAATTCGGAATCACGACAGTGCAGTTATCCTGTTCGCTTTCCACAATGTCAGCCGATGCCTAATACCGCTAGCGTAGGTACAACGCTAATAACCGTGTGAACCGAATTACTGAAGAAAGAACGGCAGCCTACGTTTTGGACTTGCATTCGGCCGTCTAACCCATTGTTTGAAAATTCCTCGTTCCACAGAAAACCTTAGCGTTTCATAATTGCGTTTTGACAAGTGAGCATAGTAACCCCTACTTTTATCGTGCATCGCTTGAAGTGCGGCCTGAGCTTCTTCTTGCTGAATACCATCAAGTCACAAGTCGCATATCTGGTTTTAGAATGCGCTGTCAATCTGATCCATCTCGTCATGTTCAGCTTTTCAGCGTCGCGCTTATTGTTGGGCATTCGTAGCAGCCATGCATCGAGTCAATAAGCTAGGTGACTCGACATACTGATATTGTCTTCATGCAATTTCACGATGCACCAGTTATTTCGTTTTCTACATGCAAGCGGCAGTGAGCGGCCCGTTATAAAGCGTCGACCTGCAAAAATATATACAATGCGCTTGAAGTTATAATAATATTGTGGATAAAATGAACTTGAGATCAAAGCAATATAGTTTGTTACACTTATACTAGTTTTTCTTTCAACAAAACATCGAGTAATCAGTTGCATTACGCGGCATAAACGGCTGTCACTGCTAAGGCGCGCCCCTGGACTCACGGATCCTGAGGGCGAAAAACCGGCCCGTGATGTGGATTCGATAATTCGGCCCCGATTCCTCTTATCAAAACTCTGCCAAGGTCGTCAAAAATTTGAAATCTAAGCTATGATATCTTGAGGCTGTAGAATACGTGCTTTTCTGCGTTTTTATCCCTGAAAAAACAATATTCCTTGAATTTGATTTTATTTTAATACAGCTCATCGTCATATTTAGCGCTCAAAATATACGCTGAACGTTGCCGCCGTTTTTCTGCAAATTTAATGCCTAAAATTTATTGGCTACTAACGACTCACTTTTCAGGTCTCGCTTGCCTCGGCCCCGCTGCTCACCTACCATGGACGATGACCTATTCGGCGGCCTTTCGGAGAGCAGCAGCAGCGATGAGGAGGAGACCGAGCTGACCTCCACCAGCCCCACCACATCACCGGGGAGACCCGAGAGGGCAACGGCCGGCAGCGACGTCCACGTGCAGTTCAGTCTCGGCAGCAGCCCAGAAGGGGAATCGAGCCCTGATGAGGACAGCCCCGTCGCTGCAAAGCCGACTAAACGACGAGCTTCTCCCCCTCGCCTCCAGCAGCAGCAAGCGGGCCCGCTTCAGCCAGGTGGCCGGCAGCTCGACGGATTTTCATGCGGCCCTGACGATGCTTGACGATGATGTGGCGGACTTGCCTTCGGCCCCAGAGCCCGTGGTAGCTCCCGAACCGATCGAACTGCCGTCAAAACCTGCAGTGGCACCGGAGGAATTGCCCGGGCCCTCGCAAAGAATTGTGCCTGTCGAAAAGATCGAGGCACCCAGCACCCGCGAGCCGACCGAGAAGCCTGCTGATGAGCAATTTTTTGCCCCGACCTCGTCCAAGAATCCAGATTTCTACCAGGGCGACGAACTGATCCCGCTGCCCGAGCTGGAAGAGGAGGACGAGAAACTGCGGCTCAAGTTGCAGGTTTGTTGTTTTTGCGGGGCTTTGCTATTCCGCTCGGGGAAACAGAATGTTTTTTGCGGGTCCTGATGCTTGGTGGTTCCATAATTCCTAGTCGATTTTAGCGATATCTCGGCGGAAGAGCTTTTAAAAAAATGTAGCCGTAAGCTTGAAAAATCTATATTTTCGCGAAAATCATTTATTTTCAAAACCCAGTGTGTCCCATAGAACGTTGAGCGAGAGAGATGAAACTGATTGGCCCACTTTCCAGGTCCTCATCTCCAACTTCTCCCAAGATCAACTCAACCGATATGAAGCCTATCGTCGCTCCACATTCCCCAAGGCAGCCGTCCGTCGCCTGATCCATCAGCACACTTCGATCGCTCCCACCCAACAAGTGGTGATCGCCATCTCGGGACTCGCCAAAGTCTTCGTCGGCGAGCTGATCGAAGAAGCGCTAAAATGCCAGACCGCCAGCGAGGAGACGGCCGACCCCCTGAAGCCGCACCACATCCGACAAGCCTACTACAAAATGCACAGTCGGGGCCAACTACACCCTCCAAAAGGAAATCGCCCCAACCCGCTATTGTGATTTTATATATCTATTTTACCGATGTACCTATAGATTATTCTCTACATGCGTGATCTGTATCACTCCAGGTTTTTTAACCTAATAATTAGCGATGGATATCCTTGCTACTCATCAACTGCAAACTTTTTTTATCGGCTACGCGCCAGCTTTTGTACGAGTTTTACGATTTCCAGAAAATCGGTCAATCTGCAAACCGGTTTTTGTAGTGATATTTCATTCCGTACCTGTTTTCTGTGAATGTCTTCGATCTGATAACAATCTGTGTATAATTAACAACAATAAATTTGCAGGTACATCTTCATGGCTGCCGACCTCGACACTAGCGACATCGACAAGGAGATCGAGCGCAGGTTCGTTTTCCGAACTTGCATAATGTTTTATTTGTTTAGGCGCGAAGCCCTTCGTGGCATCGACTCTTCGCTCGGGAACTTTGGCGGAAACCGCCCCGGATTGTGAGTTTGATTTTGATGATGTTGATTTCCAATTGCTTTTAGTGGTGGCGGTGGACCTATAGGAGGTGGAGGTGGCTTCAAGCGACGTGTGTCGGACGAGGTACCGCGGCGTTTCAACGACCGCGATGGCGGTGGGCTAGCCGGGCGTGTCTCGGGGTAAGTGTTTTAAAAAACCCCAAAAATCGTGCGCGAAAAAAGCTTCTGTGTCGAAAAACTCCAATTTTTTCTGCATTTATTGCGAAATCCTTACGTTTAGAAATAGTAAAAACTAGCTAGAAAGATCTGTTTTTATTAGAAAAATTGAATAATAGGGAAAAATAGTAAAGAACTTTTTTCTTTTAGCGTGAAACGCGGCCGCTTTGAGGAGATCGAGGATCCTTACTCCGACGAAGACGATTACGACGAGCGGCCGAAGCGGACCCTCTTCTCCACCGTTCGTTTTTAAAGGTGGTTTTTAATTTTTCGTTAGGTCTCCTTGCCAGCCATCGAGACCAAGAGCCGTGAGGAGAAGCTCAAGGAGATCGACTCCAAGACGCAGCAAGATGTGAAGCAGAGGTACCGTTATGCTTTTAAGCTTTTTCTGGCGGTTTTCTCTAGCATATTTTCCAAAATTCTTTTGTGCTTTTTTTTAAGTTCCCAATTTTCAGGAACAAGCGCATGTTCGCCAACCTGCTGATGGGTACCTTGCAAAAATTTCAGCGTGATGAAAAGAAGGTTAGGAACGTGGAAAAGGTTCAGGCGGACAAGCAGCGTGCTGTCGAGACGAAGTTGGAAGAGGAGAAGAAGGGACAAATTGAGAAGGTATCGATATTTTTTTCGAGCGGTTAACAGGCATCTAGGTTCGCGCCGAGCGTGAGGGGTTGATGGCCAAGCGCCGCGAGGAAGAGCGCGAGATCCGTTCGCTCACCCGCCGCAAGGCCCTCATTCAATACGTAAGTATTCTTTTAGTCTTACTTTTACTTGTTTTCTTTTTAGTCTGAACAGAAAATCCAGCACTACAAGCAGCTGCAGAACTTTATCGGGGTATACCGTTTTGCCTGTTTCTCACATTTTCTCTGATTTTAGACAACGACAAAACCAACAATTTTCTACGTGCCCGCCAAGCACACGCTCCGCAGCTTGGAACTCCAGAAGCAGAGCGCTGAAACTATTGATGGTAAGCCCGTTTATTAGACACTAATCCGGATTCAGCATTGATTTCCATACGCCAGGAGGCGCTGCGAAACGAGCTCAAGAACGACCCGGAGCTCAAGCGTGAAGAGGTGAGGGGTTGATAGCCTTTTTCCCCCAATGCAATTTTTTCAAATCAATGGAGAATTCTATTATGTTGTGAATTTTCAGGAGGGGCTCCGTCGCCGCGAGGCTAGAATGAGCGACGTTGGCAATGCCCCGGCCCGTGAACCGGCGTTCGAGCACAATCGAAATCGTCGCGACCGTTCCAGGTTTGTAGCTAACGAATTTTGTGTAAAAATAGCTTACCGTCATATTTGAAATACGTCGTTGTAAAAACGACCTTTAAAAACCAATTTCTATCGCGGGATAAAATCGGAAATATATGTCTGAAACAACCCTTCGACTCATCGAATTTTCTATTTCAGGTCATACTCTCGAAGCGAATCGGGCTCGGATGCTGAAGAAAATGGCACAGCCAAGGGCGACGACGAGAACAAGGCGAGCGAGGTGAAGCCCGAGCCGGAGGACGAGGCCGACGAGCTGGTCGTGAAACAGGAGGACCCCGAACTCGAGGACCGCCCCGAGGATGATATTGTGATGGCATAGTTACTTTCACGGATCTCCCATACGTGTCGCCACAGATTTCGGGCTTTGCCAACATTCTAAATATTTATTCCCCTTTACTTTGCTCTCATGGCCTTTCTGTTGAATGTGACTGTTGGGCGGGCGAACGTTCATTTCGCCGATTTCCGTATATGCATGCTGATTCGGCTTCGTAGTTGCCATTATGAAAAAATTACAAAAGCGGAAGTTATCGTTTTCGTCACGCCGCAACTCAATCTTTGCCCTACCATCTGTAGTCTAAAATAAACTAGTTTTTCAAATTAATAATGAAAAAATAGTCGAACTACCGAATCAATTCAGCGTGCATAAACAGAAATCGGTGAGATGAACGTGGGTCCGCTGGATGGCGCGTCATTTACCTTCACCCAAAAATTCACTTCCCACTCCATTTCCCCTAACAAAATTTGCGCACTAATGAACGCCAAATTAGATTAAATACGGTTGCCAGCGGTGTGCCAAATTTTTTTTGGAGAGGTGACGGCCGTTCTGACATTCTTGTTCTCCACTATACCCCTGTATAAAAAGTAAATAGTCACCCCTCTACCCCTTATCTACATCATCCATTAGCCTTGTTGTTCATTCAAATTGTTTTATCGTAAAAAAGAAAGGGAACACACACGCTCGAAATAATTACATTACATTTTATTGGCTGAACAAAATAATCACATTTCTTGTGGTGTCGGCATTAAAGGATAAATGTTTTAAAAAAACCAGGACCGGTATCGCGGGTTGGGTGGGGGATGGTGAATCTTTGGCAGATGAACGACGGGGAAAGATATTACCTTAGAAAGTAGTATTAAAATCTGGGCCAGATTCTCTATCTGCGTTTTCGTTAATAACGGCTAGCGTTGGAGTCTAACACCCGTCGTCGTGCATTTTCCTAACTATTTCAGTGCGCGGGAGAATTGACGGGGTTTTGCCAGCTGCCTCGAAGGGGGCTGCCGTGTTAGAGGGGAATTTTTGTCTAGAAGCACTGAATCAAAATTAAAAACGTTTAGAAAATGTGAAAAACGGTCAAAACTGTCAAAAAAATTTTCAATTCTGATGGTTTTAGACAAGTATTTGAAAGATTTTAGTGTCGTAAAATACTAAATAGGCTAGAAGATCTATGATTTTTTTATGTTATGTAGTTTTTTTCCTTCCTCGCCCGCTAACACGGAAGCTCCTCAGAAAATTTGTAAGAAAAAAATCAATAAATAGTGCTTTCGAATCTGCGCTGCCGAAAGAGAGGCAAAGAAAAAAAATGCATGTGACGCATCATTCTGTTAAATTAAATTATATTAAATTAAGGCTAATCTTCTGCGTATCACTAGCAGCCAGGCATCCGCGCTAAACATCTCCAGCTCGCCGGCAGGGGAGCTGCTCAAATGAAAGTGTGCGGGGCGGTGTTGTTGTTGCTCTGGACGAGGGGCACCTTGGCCTCGTCGCCCTTCAGATTCCCGGAGTGCGAGTGGGCCATCATTCGCTTCGGGCCGTTGGTGGTGGGCGGGGCACCGTGGCCGTGGCCGTGTACAGGCCGCTGGGGTTGTTGTTTGACCTGGAACGGGTGATTGGCGGTTCTTAGGAAAAGCCTATGAACTATGGACTAGCCTATGAACTGCTTGGCGTTGTTGGCCAAGGTTTTTCGGTTTTTTGTTGTTCTACCCACTTGTTCAGCGCTCAACACGCCCCTCCGTTTCTTCGGCATTTTGGCGCGAGCCTGCGTATGCGAGTAGTACATGGCAAAATTGGAGACGATGACCTGAAGTGGAGGATATGGAACAAATTGAGGGGAATTGCTAACGCCAGAAGTTGTAGCTTACCGGCACGGGCAAGGCGATGGTCAGCACACCGGCCAGGGCGCAAATCGACCCGATAAGCCGCCCGAGGTAGGTGTTCGGCGTGATGTCGCCGTAGCCGATGGTGGTCATCGTTACGATCTAGAACTGGTTGTTTAGAATGTCCTTATCAAGCTGTTTCAAGCATTCATTGCCACTCACCGCCCACCACAGCCCGATGGGGATGCTCTGGAACTGGTTGTCCGGGTTCACCTCGACCCTAGAAGAGCTTGTTATTAAAAATGGCCGGAACACCATACCTTTCCGCGTAGTACACCAGCGAGGCGAACACGACGATGCCGAGCACGAGGAAGAACACGAGCAACCCGAGTTCTTTCGCGGAGGCCCTGAATTTGAGCTTGAGAATCGATTGGTTGTTACTCACCGGAAAGTGTGTAACAATATTTTCAAGCCGGGCGAATGCTGGGTGAGCTTGAAGAGTCGCATGATGCGGATGATGGAGAAGAACTCCAGATCGGCGGATGCGCCTAGAAAGGTGGGGCTTTTAGGCTTAGGCTTGGCTTAGGCTTAGGCTTAGGATTAGGCCTAGGCTTAGGCTAAGGTTAGCCTTAGGCTTTGTCATAGACATAGGCTTATGCTTTGCTTAGGCTTGGGCGTAGGCTTAGGCTTTCTTAGGCTTAGGCTTAGACTTAGGCGTAGGCATAGGTTTGGGCTTAAGATTGGGCTTAGGTTTAGGCTGAGGCTTCAGCGTTATTGGCTTCATGAACTTACCCATGGCTGCCGTCAACATATCGACGTAGAACGTAGCCGTCGCGACAATATCAATGATATTCACCGGGGCCTAGACAAGAAACTATAAACTCCACAAAACGCCCACCTTGAAGAAGTCGACCTTTGACGGACAGGACACTAACCGTACCAAAATCTCTATTGTAAACCATATATTACAACCCGCTTCTATGTACTAAAAATGAAATTTTGATGAAAACTGGTTGGGTATACCTGGAATATAGGCCTGGCTTTCGAATTCGTCTTGTACACGGGAAAATTGACGGCCTTGTATTTGTGGTGGGCCACGGAGCGCTCGGAGCTGAAGAAGAAGGTTTTCAGTGACCAAAATTTCGTCGAAAATCGTTTCTCTCAATTTTTTACAAAGATTTCAGCGAAAGTTCAATTTTTTCGAAAAACATTCATTCGAAAATCCGGTTGCCCATATCGCTTAAAAATCACAGGGGAAAATCAATTTGTCGAAAAAATTGCGAAAATGGTTTTAACCCAATTTCAAATTTTCTCTTCTCGAAAATCTACTTTTTGAAAATAGTTTTGGCTAAAAGTCAATTTTTTGAAAGGAATATTTGCGAAAATAACTTTCAAAACCACAATTTTCGAAAGTTATAGGCTTGAATTTTAGAAAACAACTTTTGCGAAAAATTCGTCACAAGGCCTTTTTCGAAGATAACTTTTAAAAACCACTTTTTCGAGAATTGAATTTGTCGCAAGTCATATCATTTCCGAAAAACGATCGAAAACCATTTTTTTGAAACATTTTTTGAAAGTCCTGTTATTAAATATATGACTTTCTAAAGCCACCTTTCGAAAACTCAAGTTTCCAAATTCTTAAATTTGGCTTCCAATTCGTCGTAAGACGCAAACTTGACGAAATCGGATTCTCACCGATTCAGGGGCACCGCCTCGATATCGGGGATCCGGAATCCGGGCTGTGTTTTCAGACAGAAAACCGTGATTGCTGTTATTAACACAACAACGGAGATGAAGGCGATTATCTAAAGTGTACCTTAGAGTCGAGATAGGCGTAAAAACTTACCTTCGCTGCCGTGCTAGACGAGGGCTCGTCAAAAAGCCTCCAGATTTTCGGCTTCAGCACCTGCCACTTGCTGAGGCTGTTGTTGTGGTAGTCGTCCTCCCAGCCGAAGCGTTTGTAGAGTTCCTAAAGGGGTTTTTTAGGCATAGAGCGAGAGAGAGAGAGAGAGAGAGAGAGAGAGAGAGAGAGAGAGAGAGAGAGGGGGGGGAGGAGATAGAGTGAGCTAGAATGCGAAAGAAAAACCCACCGGTCCATCGATCTTGTCGGAGGTGTCAATATCTAATTTGTCTAGCGTCGATAGGACCTAAATAATTTAATTGAAGTCTTCATTACATCGATTTATTTTACTTCTTGTGTATCTCGCGTCGCTGATAATGTCATCCAACAGCACGGCTCGCAATCACTCGAATCCAGACCCCAATACTGGAAAAATCGTAAAAAAATAACTGAAATGCCCTCTGCTAGCCTGCCCTCTCCGCTTTCTCAACAATCTCTGCTAGCCTGCCCTCTCCTCTTCCTCAACATTCTCTGCTAGCCTGCCCTCTCCTCTTCCTCAACATTCTCTGCTAGCCTGCCCTCTCCTCTCCCTAACAATCTCTGCTAGCCTGCCCTCTCCTCTTCCTCAACAATCTCTGCTAGCCTGCCCTCTCCTCTTCCTCAACAATCTCTGCTAGCCTACCCTCTCCTCTTCCTCAACAATCTCTGCTAGCCTGCCCTCTCCTCTTCCTCAACAATCTCTGCTAGCCTGCCCTCTCCTCTCCCTAACAATCTCTGCTAGCCTGCCCTCTCCTCTTCCTCAACAATCTCTGCTAGCCTGCCCCTCTCCTCTTCCTCAACAATCTCTGCTAGCCTGCCCCTCTCCTCTTCCTCAACAATCTCTGCTAGCCTGCCCTCTCCTCTTCCTCAACAATCTCTGCTAGCCTGCCCTCTCCTCTTCCTCAACAATCTCTGCTAGCCTGCCCTCTCCTCTTCCTCAACAATCTCTGCTAGCCTGCCCTCTCCTCTTCCTCAACAATCTCTGCTAGCCTGCCCCTCTCCGCTTCCCTCAACAATCTCTGCTAGCCTGCCCTCTCCTCTTCCTCAACAATCTCTGCTAGCCTGCCCTCCCCTCTTCCTCAACAATCTCTGCTAGCCTGCCCTCTCCTCTTCCTCAACAATCTCTGCTAGCCTGCCTCTCCTCTTCCTCAACAATCTCTGCTAGCCTGCCCTCTCTCCTCTTCCTCAACAATCTCTGCTAGCCTACCCTCTCCTCTTCCTCAACAATCTCTGCTAGCCTGCCCTCTCCTCTTCCTCAACAATCTCTGCTAGCCTGCCCTCTCCTCTTCCTCAACAATCTCTGCTAGCCTGCCCTCTCCTCTTCCTCAACAAACTCTGCTAGCCTGCCCTCTCCTCTTCCTCAACAATCTCTGCTAGCCTACCCTCTCCTCTTCCTCAACAATCTCTGCTAGCCTGCCCTCTCCTCTTCCTCAACAATCTCTGCTAGCCTGCCCTCTCCTCTTCCCTCAACAATCTCTGCTAGCCTGCCCTCTCCTCTTCCTCAACAATCTCTGCTAGCCTGCCCTCTCCTCTTCCTCAACAATCTCTGCTAGCCTGCCCTCTCCTCTTCCTCAACAATCTCTGCTAGCCTGCCCTCTCCTCTTCCTCAACAATCTCTGCTAGCCTGCCCTCTCTCCTCTTCCTCAACAATCTCTGCTAGCCTGCCCTCTCCTCTTCCTCAACAATCTCTGCTAGCCTGCCCTCTCCTCTTCCTCAACAATCTCTGCTAGCCTGCCTCTCTCCTCTTCCTCAACAATCTCCTGCTAGCCTGCCCTCTCCTCTTCCTCAACAATCTCTGCTAGCCTGCCCTCTCCTCTTCCTCAACAATCTCTGCTAGCCTGCCCTCCCCTCTTCCTCAACAATCTCTGCTAGCCTGCCCTCTCCTCTTCCTCAACAATCTCTGCTAGCCTGCCCTCTCCTCTTCCTCAACAATCTCTGCTAGCCTGCCCTCTCCCTCTTCCTCAACAATCTCTGCTAGCCTGCCCTCTCCTCTTCCTCAACAATCTCTGCTAGCCTGCCCTCTCCTCTTCCTCAACAATCTCTGCTAGCCTGCCCTCTCCTCTTCCTCAACAATCTCTGCTAGCCTGCCCTCTCCTCTTCCTCAACAATCTCTGCTAGCCTGCCCTCTCCTCTTCCTCAACAATCTCTGCTAGCCTGCCCTCTCCTCTTCCTCAACAATCTCTGCTAGCCTGCCCTCTCCTCTTCCTCAACAATCTCTGCTAGCCTGCCCTCTCCTCTTCCTCAACAATCTCTGCTAGCCTGCCATCTCCTCTTCCTCAACAATCTCTGCTAGCCTGCCCTCTCCTCTTCCTCAACAATCTCTGTTAGCCTCACCTTTAATTCTTCCTCAAATAATGGCCCGCATACATCAAGTGGATAGTGAAGCTTACCCGTTCTGAAAAGTAAGGCGGTATAATGGTTATTACTGCGTAATTTTCATACCTATAATAATTCAACACTTGTGCAAACACCCCGGGATGTCGATCAAAAAAATATTCATTCAGCACGGGGTCGTAGTTGGCCAGGCTGGTGGTTAATCGGGATAACCTGAAAATGAACGTGGAGGTATCTAATGTAAGCTAATTCTGCCAATGATCGAAAAGTCGATATAAATTTGCATACCTCGTGGCGGGGATTTTCTTCAGGGTGTGTTTATACGTTTCATGTCGGACTCCTCCTACATTCAGTATTATCCGGTACTCGCTGTCCATCACCCCGTTTGTTCTGAAAATCTATGTATTACTTTTAACCTGAAGAACTGCTGAATTTAATGGCAGGCTAGCAGAGATTGTTGAGGAAGAGGAGAGATAACCGGCTTTTTCAAAACGTTTGACTTTTGGCTGCATGCCGCAGCCACGGAAAGGCGAAAAGAAAAATTAATTTGCGACCGCTGCCCCTTTTTATGGGGGCGCCCTAATAATTTGGGGTGGTTGAGCGGTTGGCCGGGTTTTTTGTATGTGTGTGTGCTGCCAAATTGGCTGCACCCAAAATTATTGCCACGATAAATTGGATAACAGGATTTATTGAGAAAACGGTTTCTGATTCTGAAGGTGCTGATCTACGGGTAGCGCTTGGGCATATAGAATTTGAGGGAAATCTCGTAGTATAAACCTTTAACATGACTAAACTCTGTTCAATGCAAGCAAGTAGTAAAATTACGTCGTGATATCGACAAAAATTGCAGCGCTTTTCCTGGGTCGTTTAATTCTTTTTCTGTCTTCCACACCGATGCCACGCTAATTCCGCCGAGATTTGCGTGTGAGTGTTTGGTCGGGTGGGTCGGGAAATCGGGAGTGGAATTCGTAGAGAATGGAAGCGAGCGAGTAAGGGGTAGTTGATTCCTTGGGCTAAAAAATATCCCAACAGAAGGATGTAGTTATGGAAGGACGACGTAATCCGAAGCCGGAGCTTAACCCTGACTGAAGCTTAAGGCCAAGCCTAAGTCTAAGCTTCAGCCTGGACCAAAGCAAAGCCAAAGCCTAAGCCTATGACTAACCTAAGCCTACGCCTAAGGCTAAGCAATCAAAGCCTAAGCTGACACCCAAATCTAAACCTAAGCCTAATCCTAAGCCTAAAGTCACATCCGCTCTGGCATCCAGGCTTCATTTACTCCAAAATGCATGTAATTTACGTCAACTCTTAGCTCTAAAAGCACAGTGCAGGGGTAAATACTTAATCCACCCTTTCCAACTTCCTCAGATGATACCACTCAAATGTATGTGGTGGCCTCGCCCCAAAAAAAAAAAAACCCCTAACGGCCCTTAGTTGGGGTGGTGGGGGTAGAAATAGAGAACAGAAAAGAACGGGAGGAGGAGGAGGAGAAGCCTCCTCCTCCCCTCGACTCGTCCATATCAATGGGCCGGAAAAAAGCTAAAGAGCTGAATGAATTATCCTGCGCTTCTGCCGGAGCGGCGCTGCCCTCCCTCACCTCTCCCGCCGCAACCAGCAAATTATCCTGGGACCCCGGGGCCCGGGTTGGGTGGACTCACCCCAAACTTGTTTTATCGTCTGGAAGTGGTACTGTAAGTCTTGAATTAGGTTTGGGCTTAGGCTTAGGCTTAGGCTTAGGCTTAGGCTTAGGCTTAGGCTTAGGCATAGGCTTAGGCCTAGGCTTAGGCCTAGGCTTAGGCTTAGGCTTAGGCTTAGGCTTAGGCTTAGGCTTAGGTTTAGGCTTAGGCTTAGGCTTAGGTTTAGGCTTAGGCTTAGGCTTAGGCTTAGGCTTAAGCTTAGGCTTAGGTTTAGGCTTAGGCTTAGGCTTAGGCTTAGGCTTAGGCTTAGGCTTAGGCTTAGGCTTAGGTTTAGGCTTAGGCTTAGGCTTAGGCTTAGGCTTATGACTTCCTTCTTAAAAATACCGCCCTACGGAGCGGCGCCACATCAAATTACAGGAAGTAGCGCGCAAAATTGCCGAAACCAGATGCCAAAGTGAGCAAATATGGCAGAGTACGGAGTAGTCCGGCGGAATCGCCCAAATTTTAGGTGGGAAGCAAAAGAATTGCTCTTTTAAAGGAGCATGGAAGATTTTCATGCTTCTTTAAAAGTTCAAAAGATAGAAAGGTAAGCTAGCACGGATTCTTCGGAAGCGAAGAGGGCAGACTAGCAGAGATTCTTAACCACCCCCTTAAAACCGCGCCCGCCAAAGTAAAGTAGGTTGAAAGGGGCGGCGTCTCTTGTTTCTGTCCCCCTCCGCGAGCCCGAGCTCAAGGCACACACAAGCCGTTCGGCATGCATTTGGCTGAATATCAAATCAAGCCAATAGATCTGAGCGGGGGAGGGGAAAGAGTCTCACCCCCTGCTTGCTTAAGCCAAAAGAAGGGCCCGCCACCAAACAAGGCCAAGTGGCGAGCCGGATAACCCCCCGGGCCACACACGCAATTAGTAGCCTGCCGTACGCGCACCTACGAGAAGCCGAGGGAGCAGAGGATTGGGCAAAGTAGCCGAAACTTTTGGGGACGAGGAGCGGAGAGGGCAAGCTAGCAGAGACTGTTGAGGAAGAGGAGAGGGAAAGTAGGCTTAGGCTTAGGCTTAGGCTTAGGCTTAGGCTTAGGCTTAGGCTTAGGCTCAGGCTTAGGCCAAGGCTTCGCTTAGGCTTAGGCCAGGCTTGGGCTTAGGCTTTGGCTTAGGTTAGGCTTAAGCTTAGGCTTAGGCTTAGGATTGCTAATGCAAAAGTACCGCTTCCTCAAGCTCAAGCTAGACTCTAGGAAAACAGCGGTTTCCTCTAGAATCAAAAAGGTCAATCTGCAGCCAGAAGCCAAAAAATATGCGGAGAAGCACGCGTATGCAGAAGGCGAGTAACCCGGAGGGGGCACATAGTACCCGTGCGGAATCGGGGCATAACTCAATCCGGCGGCCCGCCCGGACGCTCCCATTCATTCGAGTGACCTGAGCATGGGTGGGGAAGAGGGAGCAGTGATCGCTACGGGACCCATCCACGATTACTACGATTTTGTAGGAGGTGAAGAGTCGATTTTAAGATGTACTAAAAAGATAGTTTGTTAAGGCCAGGCAGACTAGCAGAGATCATTTAACAAGTAGGGAAGCTAGCAAAGATCTTGAGGAATTTCGGGGGAAGCGAGACGAGACCATTTGTGGGTTAGGGCAAACTAGCAGAGATCCTTTGCTGGTGATAAGCTAAAGTTTTTGGCCTAAAACTGATTATTGACTAATTTTGTTGCAGGCTAGCAAAGATTCATGAGGAAGCTCCGAGCAGGCTAGCAGCGGTCATTTAGGAATTTTAGGACAGTCTAGCAAAGATTCTTGAGGAATTTCAGGGCAAGCTAGCGGAGACCATTTGGTTGGAAAGGTCAGGCTAGCCGAGATCACTTGATGAGAACTGGGAAATTTGGACTGTGGCGGGGATTCTTGAGGAATTTCTGGCAAGTTAGCAGGGCCGCTTAAGGAATTTCCGAGGGTTTGGTAGATGCAAGTTTCTTACCCATCTCTCCGGCGTCCGGGTAACATTTTCAAATTTTAAGGTTTTTAGTGATTAGCAGTAGTGCGGAATTTTATCGAATATTCAAGCTTTTAGCGCTAGTTTTGGAATGTTAGCATATGCTGGGCTTTTCGGTGGGAAGCTTCGGACAATGCCCGACCCAGGGGACGGTACAGGCCCTTGACAATGGCAGTCCGGGTGCCCTTTTTAAAATTTTGCCCTCGACCGCTGGCTGCCCCGGATACCGCTCATCCGCTATTTCCGGGCTGAGCATGCCTGCGCCTACATTCCGGTGTCGCGAAATTTTGCGGGAATTCCGGGTTTTGTAGGTAAAGATGGTAAAGATTTTTAAATGAATTTTGTAGCTAGAAAGCCATTTTTTGTGTAAAAACTAAAGTAATACACTTTTAAGTATTTTTGAACATTCTTTTTAGCTTAAAGGAATCTTAATTTTAATCTAAGCCACTACGACAAAATATTTGTTAATATCTATTTGAAGTCTAGATTTAGCCCGGGTGGCTAGCAGATTTTTAAAATAACGATGATACAATACTAAAAAACAATAATAAATAGTAATAACCAATACTAATAAATCATACCAATCAATATAAAATATAGGTTTTTACATATTGGGCTCCTAGAAACTAGCAGAGACCATTTGAGAGCCCACGCTAAGCAGGACGGGCTAGAAGAGATCATTTAGGAAACGGGCAAGCTAGCAGAGATAATTTAGCAGCGGGGCAGACTAGCAGAGATCATTTCGGAAGTGTTAAAAAAGCCCAGGGCAGGCTAGCAGAAACGATTGGGCATAAAAAATGTCATACGGTAGTGAAAGGCAGGCTAGCAGAGACTTTTGCGGAAGCGGGACGTTTTGAGCAAAGAGCCCGAATCAAGGGCAGGCTAGCAGAGACCATTGAGGAAATCAGCTGCAATCAATCGATGATAGGGCAGCTAGCTGAGGTTCAATCAAATTTCAGTTTCTTTTCCAAATTCAGTTTTTTCTTTTTCAAATTTCAAAGTTCATTCAATCAATGATTGAGGAAATGTGCCATTTTCAAAAATACAAGACTGTAGGTCGAGAAAAAGAGTGAATTACAGGAATTTAGTTGTGGAAACGAGCAGCGTACGAGTTTTAGGGCAAACTAGCAGAGATATTTTGGGAAATAAAGACAATTTTCGGAATTCTATGCAAAAAAATTATGAAAATCCAAAGGGCAAAAGGGAGGACGGGGTAAAGAAGGCGATTTGTGTGCGTATATGTCCACCCAAGGGTGTGGGTGGCGGCCCGCCAAAAAGCCCCGAATTTCATTAGTGCACATCCACGATGCCCCGGGCTGTCGTATTTTGGCGTGGCTCTTACGGGGTGGTGTGGCCATCCGTCTGGGCCACCACCAATCGGGGGACATCCCTTGACTCGAAAAAGGGATGGAGAGGTGAAAATAGAACTCAACCGGGCCCCCCACAAATACACATTCAGAATCCTCCTCCTCTCCTACCCAAACAACCAGCCTCGAATAACATAATAACGTAATTTGTGTGGCGCCGGCATACGGGGAGTCCGAGGCCGTCAAATGAGGAAAGGAGGAGCCGCGGCAGATGCTAGTATCGAAAAAACGAGATTTTAAAGGGAAACCTAAGCCTACCCGTAGCCCGAAGTCAAAAAAAGCCTAGGCAAAGACTAAGTAGACTAAGCAAACCCTAAACAAATCCTTAGCCTCAGCCTAAGCAAAGTCTAATCAAAGCCGAAGCCTAAGCCTAAGCCTTAGCCCAGACGTAGGCCTAAGCCTGAGCCTGAGGCGAAGTCTAAGCCTAACCGCAGCCTAAGCCCAGGTGAAAACTGAGACTCGGCCGAACCAGAAACACCCAGTTGGCTAAAAAAAACACCTTTTTCGCTTTCCTAATCCCTTTAAAGGGCTCACATGGTCTCTGCTAGCCTGCCCTATCCTCTTCCTCAACAATCTCTGCTAGCCTGCCCTCTCCTCTTCCTCAACAATCTCTGCTAGCCTGCCCTATCCTCTTCCTCAACAATCTCTGCTAGCCTGCCCTCTCCTCTTCCTCAACAATGCCTGCTAGCTTGCCCCAAATCGCAATTCTCCAGTTATCAGATCGATCAAGAATACAAATAAAGAAATGGATAGCAATTCCATCAAAGTCCCGGGCGATCTTACATCGTAAAACGAGGAGAATAAAAGCGAAATTCGGGGCGTGGGCCCCATACCAAAGGGCCCGCCTGCCCGAAAACGTTTCCCCCGGTTACTACGAATGTTCCGTCGCGGCCCCTTTTTTGTGGGCAGGCCCGTAGCGGAGGCCGAATGTCTGGGGGCTAAAAAGCGTTTGCCACACTCAAATTGGTGTGAAAACACGGCAGAAAACGCGCCGCAGGCGAAAATTTTTATGATCAATTGATTCACTAATAAAAAACCGGCGCCGCAGGCAAAAATTTTTGAAAAAATAGGCTTCATATAAGTAAAAAACTGTTTGAAAAACGAATAATAACAGCGCCGCAGGCAGAAAATTTTGTAACTAAAATCATAAGGGTCCCCCTTTATGAATTTTTCGGACCTCGACCGATTTCGGGGCCCGGGCCCCCTCCCGCCTACGGGCCTGTTTGTGGGTGAGCCGACGAGGGGGAGACGGATCGAAACGTCATAAATTTATCGGGGTTTGATTTTTTTGCGATAGTAATTATATGTTAAAGCGCTACCATGCCATTGCAGAATGAATTTTCATAAAAATTCAGCTTCCAAAAGTTTTTTAGGGTTTTAGATGCTAGATGTGAAAAACGAGGCCTCCGGTCGTTTTGACTGAAAGAACAAAATCCTGAATAATTTCCTGTAGGCTGAAACTCCCTCCAAGCTAATGTGCAACGAGGAAGGGCCCGTATAATCTGCATAATATCCTGCCCAGCGCCCTACTGAAGGCAATGAGTTGCGTTTCGTTGCCCCCGCGTTGGCATAATTTGATGGGTTTTTGCGACCAAGAGATGGTTTTGGAAAGGCTTAGGCTTAGGCTTAGGCCAGGCTTCAGCTTAGGCTTAGGCTTAAGCATGGCCGTTTCTAAGCTAAAATTGTAAAGCTTGAGACACCGCTGTTTACCGGCCAGAATCCGAGCCTAGTCCGTCCTATGCAATTGGGGAAAACTTTCGAATAATTCATGCCAAGATTTGTGTGCTAGCCCGCCCGAGCGTTGTCCCAGAAAACAATCAACGTAAGGGGAGGGGAGCTTCGGCTTAGGCTTCGGCTTACGTTAGGCTTTGCTTGGCTCAGGCGTAGGCTGGGACAACGCTTGTTTTCTGGGACAACGTCGCCTTAAGCAAACGAGGAGGAGCGTGTGCCGGATCAGAGACACAAACCGCAAACCCATGGGGCCATGTGTCACCTTCACTCAACTATCATCATCTCCTCCCCTTATGGCCGCATGGCGGGGGGTGGTGGAAAGTGACACTTTGCAACCATCTGGGCCAGCTCGGGACACAGCCGGGAATCGCTGGTTCTTGTGAGTTATCGGGGGTGGCGGCTAGCAGAGATTGTTGAGAAAGAGGAGAGGGCAGGCTAGCAGAGATTGTTGAGGAAGAGGAGAGGGCAGGCTAGCAGAGATTGTTGAGGAAGAGGAGAGGGCAGGCTAGCAGAGATTGTTGAGGAAGAGGAGAGGGCAGGTTAGCAGAGATTGTTGAGGACGAGGAGAGGGCAGGCTAGCAGAGATTGTTGAGGAAGAGGAGAGGGCAGGCTAGCAGAGATTGTTGAGGAAGAGGAGAGGGCAGGCTAGCAGAGATTGTTGAGGAAGAGGAGAGGGCAGGCTAGCAGAGGTTGTTGAGAAAAAGGAGAGGACAGGCTAGAAATCCGATGCAAATCGCCAGCCCGTATCCGTAAATAGGTGTGAAATGACTAATTGCCGGGGCGGCTTCTTTCCGGAAAAAGCATCATGGAGTGTGGTGGTGGCTGTCAAATGCCGGGACGCCGAAAGGGATGTCAAGCATCTCGGCCAAAGCCCGACTCGCCGTTGAAATCTGAGCCTCGGGCTGCCGTGGCGGGACACCCCCTGCTAAAACTGCCACTAACGGGCGCGATCAGCATTCTCCTTTTATTAGAGCAGATTTTTGGAGTATGTGGTATGCTAATAAGAATTAAGAGAGATAGAGAGGGGAGGGAGAGAGAGAGAGAGAGAGAGAGAGAAAGAGAGAGAGAGAGAGCAAGAGAGAGAGAGAGAGGGAGAGAGAGAGAGAGAGAGAGAGAGAGAGAGAGAGAGCAAGAGAGAGAGAGAGAGAGAGAGAGAGAGAGAGGGAGAGAGAGAGAGAGAGAGAGAGAGAGAGAGAGAGAGAGAGAGAGAGAGCAAGAGAGAGAGAGAAACGACAAAAGTCGAGAAGAGGTAAAAATGAAGAAAGAGACAGCCGACACTGGGGTAGAGTCAGAGAGAGAGCGTGAGAGAGCGAGCGTGAGGGTGAGAGAAAGAGAGCGCATGAGAAACTAAAAAAACTGACCGTTCCAACCTCGGCCCATTCGAGAGCTGCTCCTCGAGGTCGAGCTTCTTCCGGGCGAAGCTCATCCTGGAAAAATTCTTGCTCGTTTCAATAACGGGAAAAGGAAGCAATCTGAGAAATTAACAAATACTTCCCAAAAACTACAGGAAGTAAAAAAAGAAGACCAGAAGCTGGGTTGGAAAAGTTGCGAAAAGGTTCGAAAACACTGGAAGTTGGCGTGACGGTAATTGGCGCATCTGGTCAGGAGGTCAGGGCAAGAACATACATAAAATCGGGTAAACAGTGGAGAAAACAAGCTTCCGTGGCTTCCGAAAGGTTCTCTGCTAGCCTGCCCCCTCCAGGGCACTCGTTTTCCTAAGGCATCCCTGCTTACAATTCCCAAATTATCGCTGCTAGCTTGCCGCGCTAGCCCCTTTAACAGAGAAAATTCGGTGTTTTTCTTGGTATTTTCATGCCCCGATTTTTCCTCTATATTCTCTATGCTTTTTTTCGTCGTCTTTCATACGATAGAGGGGATGGAATTTGCGAAAATTCCAGAACACACCCCGCATCGCCAACCGGCTGTCTGGAAAAGTGTGCCCTGAAGGCCTGATGCCATCACCAGATAAGGGAGGTGATGACTCAAAAACGCGTTTTTCCAGGGGATTCTAAAGGGGCGGCTCAGGAGGCTGGCTCAGAAAAACAAGCTCGAATTAGCGGCTCAGGGCACACCCATTAATGGCGACTGGGCTACTTCTACTAGCTCTCTAGCTAGCATGCCTGAGCTAGGATATATCTTACTACTAGCTTACTACTAGCTCCTAGCTCCTTAGACCCCCCTTGCCGGCTGTCACGCCGCCTTTAACCCATAAAATTGCTCTCTTGCTCGCTCGCTCTCACTAGCTCTCACTCTCTCGCTCTCTCTGCCTCTCTCTCGCTCTCATTCTCTCTCGCTACATCTCTCTCTTGCTCCCTCTCTCACCCGCTTTCTCTCGCTATCTCTCCCTGTCTCTCTCGCTATCTCTCTTTCTTTCGCTCTCGCCTCGTACCTGAATTCTTTAAATCCGTTATCAAGGCAGCTAACTGTATGCAATTTGAGCCCCCGATGTGGGTGGGTGATTTGCATAAACACCGCCTAGCTCGGTCACCCAATTTGGCAAGGCCGGTGGCGGCGATACCCCACCTTTTATCAGATCTAATCTAGCCTCTTGGATACGAAATATATCGAGCAGTCCGGCCCGGGTTGTACTGTCTGGCCATTAAATCTATTCAAATTACCCGATCACTGTCTCGATTTTTCTATATCGTCAAGGATTTGTGTAGTCTATAGCTCCTTCATCAATCTGTTACATTATTTGAAGACTATGTATGCTTTTCATGGCTTTTAGAATCTTCAGAAAATGACAGCCACCCTCCCAGCCCTTCTATTATTAATTGGAATCGTTAAATCAGGTACTTAATCGACTTTTGTCGAAAACATTGCTTTTTATAGCCCCCTCCCCGGTTCACGTCCAAATCTTGACTGATCCATCCAAGGTAAGTGATCGGACGATTCGGGCTTATACTTAGGCTTAGGCTTAGGTTACAAATCAAACTGCTCTTTTTAGGAAGGTCTCCACCTCGGCCCCTACGACCAGACCCGATTCGACTTGATTGAAAGCTACAACCCCCTGGCGACGGCCGGTGTCGCGAAAGGTTTGTATCATTGATACGATAATTTACAAAAAAGGAAAAGGCACTGACGATTTTATAACGAGGTATACAAGACGCGGGAAGCAACACGTTTTTCGCGCCTGAAAATAGCCTGGTTCCGTTCTTCATATTTTCTCAAAGTGGCTTCGTTGGGTACGAGAAAGAGAAAAGGAGAGAGAGAGAGAGAGAGAGAGAGAGAGAGAGAGAGAGAGAGAGAAAGAGAGTGAAAGAGAAGGCATGACCCGTCTAAAGCCTGGACGAGGTAATTCTAGGGGCTGAGTTAAAATACGCATTAATAGCTAAAAATGAAAATTCAGAATTAACTCTAATGGAAAAATACTATATTGGGTATTAGCTTGGCTCACCTACTAAACTAAACTTTAGGCGTCGACTTTGCCAAGATCCAAATCCCGCGTCGACCTCGCGTGAAGGCCAATGGCGTTAGGAACATCTTGAATACAGGTAAGCTTCGTTCAGATTACGGTCATCGATCCGCGTTTTAGGATCCGACGATTCTGACCTGCTCGGAAACGCCGTGGAGCAGTTGGAGGCCGGGGAGAACGCGCCGGCTGCCGAGAATGGAGGTGATTTTTTGGGTTGCTTGGCTTAGGCTTAGGCTTAGGTTTAGGCTTAGGCTCTTAGACTTAGGCTTAGGCTTAGACTTAGGCTTAGGCTTAGGTTTAGGCTTAGACTTAGGCTTAGGCTTAGGCTTAGGCTTAGGCTTAGACTTAGGCTTAGGCTTAGGCTTTAAATGCGCAAAAAATCGGAATTTTTGACAAAAATAACGACGCAAAGCGCTAGCGCCTAATTGGAAATCCTGCGCTTTTTGGGGTGTACTTTTCCTAAAGGACCGATGGGATCGAAATTGACACCCGGATGTGCCATCCGGGAAAACGTCTGAGATTTGGATAATTAGCATAATTAAAGACAAAACAAAGCAAAGCTGCGTTATCTGCGTTTTAAAGGTACCTAGAAGCCTAATCCAAAGCTTTCAGGTTTTGTAGATTTCCTAAGATTCTCCACTTGAGAAGATTTGGAAGTTACAGAATTTTGAATTTTAACTTTTGGCTTCCCGCCAGGTTTAAGAAGCTTCTAGACCCTAATCCAACAAAAGAAGCCAATATCAAAATATGAAAGCGGAGAAGGGAAGGAAAGAGAGAGCCAGAGAGGGAGAGAGAGAGAGAGAGAGAGAGAGAGAGAGGGGGGGAGAGAGAGAGAACAAGCCCTAATGGCTTAGTCGGACGCATCCGTTGAATCATTCACCACGACTCCTGCATATCTTCTCCACCACCCCAACTCCAGGGTCACTAAGTAATTAGGCTAATTTGCATAAAATATAATGGCTTTGGTGTTATATATTCTCGTCCACTGAAAATTCACCTTTTTACCCTTTAATTTAATTCAGAGTTTGGAAATCTGAAAGTATTCTTTCATCACTGAATTTATGCTAATTAGCATTTATAAAAGATGTAAAGATCGTCGAGAAAATGTCTATACCTCGGAAAAATTAATTTTACTAATTGTAGCTGAAGTTAAGGCAAATTAAATTCTTCAGTTAAAATGAGCATCAGTAGAACGGTCTGCCAGGCAACTAGCAGAGAAATGTGGGGATTTAAAAGAGGTGCGAGGGCGCAATTTGCATTCCCGGTCGATTAGCGGCCGAATCCGGAGGGTCCGGAGATGACATCTGGATTGGCCGGAAAAAAAACGGGAGAGATGGGACGTATATTCTAGGGGGGTGTATTCGAACATGAGCACGAGAAGGAGAGAGAGAGACAGAGAGAGAGAGAGAGAGAGAGAGAGAGAGAGAGAGAGAGAGAGAGATCAGAGAGACCCACTCGGGCGCCTCTACATATCTAATTTGGATTAGAATTTCGGGGGCCAAGTTTGGCTAGGCGCCTCGTCAAAATCCTCCTCACACACGCGGAGCGGGCCCTTCAAGCCCCGCCGGCGACTCCTTGAATTTGACGGCATGCAAATTGGGTTCTGGATTGTCCGTGAAATCAGAAATTAGAGAGAGAGAGAGAGAGAGGAGAGAGAGAGGGAGGGGGAGAGAGAGGAGAGTGAGGGAGAGAGCTTCAAAGCGGCTGTAGGCTTGCCGGTACCTTTAAAAACAACAACGCCCCACCAACGAAACCAGTAAAACGGCCCGCCCAGGGCTGCGCTGGCAGATTGTCAGGAGTGTGTATGTGTTGTGTATGTGTTTTCGTACATAAAAACGGCGCGCTGAAAGGGGGTAGAGGAGCTCCCCTGCTCCTCCTCATCCCCACCCCCAAACCACAGCCGGCCTCAATTCTCTGCGTATTGTTGTGCGAGAGCCGGGTCGGGCAAAGGGGGACACCCCCCTTGGCCATGCCGATACATACACTCACACTGCAGACAGACAGAGATATATATCAGAAGAACGGACTAGGCTTAGTCTTAGGCTTAAACTTAGGCTTAGTCTTAGGCTTAGACTTAGGCTTAGGCTTAGGCTTAGGCTTAGGCTTAGGCTTAGGCGTAGGCTTGGGCTTAGGTTTAGCGTAGGCTTTGGTCAAAAATTGACTAGAATCTTCCGAAAATTATTTTGCCAATCTGAATTTGAAACCGGAGCCGCGCGTACACAAACAGACGGCCTGCCGTGGCATGGGGACCTGGAGTAAATGCCTTTTTCGGAGGTTTGGGGGCGTGAAAAGCTCGAATAGCCGGCGGGACACGAAGCAGTGCGGGCGAAAACAATAGACTCGCATACTCGACACCTCAAACCTGGGCAGGAAGTGGCAGAGAAGAGAATGGCATGAAAAGAGCGAGCACTGCATAAGCTAACGACTTCCTCGGGGTATGTCATTAGTGCGCGAAAGGGATGAGCGCAGGCTAGCAGAGATTTTTGAGGAAGAGAGGGCAGGCTAGCAAAGATTGTTGAGGAAGCGGAGAGGGCAGGCTAGCAGAGATTGCTGGAGAAACGAGCTGTCCCCAAAAAAATATCCCCATCCAGTCGTATCCCCAGCCGGAAAATAATTATCCACCAGGTGTTATTTAGGAAAACTCGGCAGTCACATTCAGAAATCATTAGCGTTCCTTGTCGTTTTTTTGGTGTGTTTTCGGTGGACCAGAGTAACAAAACGAGCTCAGGACCGCTGGAACATACTGGGGAAGTTGCGGCCACAGGGTACAAGATTTAGCAGATAACGCCCGGAGACTAGGGTAATTTATGCGCCTCAACTTGTGCGCATCGACATTTTGGGAAGCCGAAAAACAAAGGGCAGGTTTGGGCAGCTAGCCGAGGCTTAGCTTAGGCTTAGGCTTGGACTAGGCTCGGGTTAGGCTTAGGCTTGTAATCTGGTGCATCTATAGCTCATTTGCCGCAAGAGCGCAGTCTAGCAGTGTTCTGTCCCCTGTTCATCTCCCCCATTTTCAGTCGTGCTCGGCGAGTACCTCGAGTGGGGCTCGTGGTCGGCGTGCAAGGATGGTGAACGCGTCCGGATGCGCGTGTGCGTCTCGAGGAGGGCGGCGCGGAACATCCGATGCGAGGGGCCATCAAAGGAGGTTGGTGGGCAGGATAGGCTTAAGCTTTGGCTTAGACTTAGGCTTTAGGCTTAGGGGGGGGCTAGGCCTGAAGATTGAAAGCTAAGCATTAAATCCAATTTTTCAGTCCCAAGCCTGCTTCTCCACTGACGAGACGAACATCCCGGTGATGACGGACCCGTGGATGATCGAGCGCGAGATCAGCGGGCAAAACATGAAGGTAGGCAGGCTAGCAGAGATTTTTGAGGAAGCTCACATTGCCTTTTTGTAAGAATCAATCCTTTATAGCCAGCTAAGCCCTATACCCAGCCCCGGATCTGGGAATATCTGGTGAAAAAGGTACCTTCAACGACTATAGGCGTTTTCGCGTTCATTCAGCTGTTTTTAACCTTTTGCTTAACACCCGGCTTTACTAATTTTTCTTTTCTTTTTGAATGTTGTTAAATTTACATATGCAAACTTTTCAGAGCCGTCACGAGGGTGGGCAATAATCTTCCGGGAGCTCCCATTAATGTGCTAATCGCCGTCGTGCAATAATAATCTTCTGTGATCTTTGGATTTTGTGTTTTGTTTGCAATTTGAATAAATGGTTTCCACAAGAATCTCTGCTAGCCTGCCCTCTCCTCTTCCTCAACAATATCTGCTAGCCTGCCCTCTCCTCTTCCTCAACAATCTCTGCTAGCCTGCCCTCTCCTCTTCCTCAACAATCTCTGCTAGCCTGCCCTCTCCTCTTCCTCAACAATCTCTGCTAGCCTGCCCTCTCCTCTTCCTCAACAATCTCCGCTAGCCTGCCCCTCAGGAAAATAGGGATTCCAAGTTCTCTCAACCTCCTCGGCAAGGTAGCAGAGACCATTTGTGCTCGCTCTTTTTTAGGTTGTTTATAGAAAGTTCCTAGATTTTAGGAGAGCTCTCTTCTTTTAATCCTTTTCCGCTGCTCTTTGAAGCGTTTAAGGGATTGGGAAGCGATCGAGACTCTCTTTCCAAGGTCGCGCTCCGAACCTCCCGAACCCCAGCCAGGATTAGACCCCTTTTTTGGTCGCTTTTGGCATATAAATATTGCCTCCACAAGTGGGAAATATTGAGCTGCTCGATCTTGTGCTCCTCAAAAGTTTGTTTTCTGTTTTGTACGAAGTTTGGGAGGCTCGTGCGTAACGTAACGTATGTGGCGTAGTGTCGCTAAGGCGCTGCGGCAACGCGTACGCGACGCCTTGACCTCAATTCAGGCCTTTAAGGGGTCATTGAAGTGATAAATCTGTCATCTAGCAGGCTAGCAAAGACCTTTATGGAAACGATGGCTTCATTTCCTCAACAATCCCAAAGCCTTTCGTTGCCGCAAAAATCCCTGCTAGCCTGCTGGCCGCCCGAGCGGATAGATACAAAATTGCTGTTGAGGTTTTTGCTTGAGTAGGCTTAGGCTTAGGCGTAGGCATAGGTTTTCCTTTTTCTCCAATGATTCGTAATTTGAAAATGCCGATCTACTGACTCGGCTCTCTAGATGAAGCACCTTATCCTTACCGCCGCTCTCATCGTCTCCCTGCAAGCTGCTACCACCCGAGCTGATGTTTTTGTAAGTTTAATGGAGGCCGAGGCCAGTCGCTAATTGCCCGACGATTCCTAGAGCTCAAAATTTCAGGAGGGCGGAACGGTCCGCTTTGTACCTGCTGGGGGTGTATTTGAGCGCGAGAGCGTGATGGGAAACGAAACGATTACGTAAGGAAAAGCTGGTGACTGACAATACGGTTTTTAGAAAATGCAAAAAGGATGAGAGCGACGGTGAGAACTGCGGAAAATGGGTTGTTAGAGAGGTAAGCTATTCGTAGTGGGCAGCGAAGGCTAGCAGAGATTGTTGAGGAAGAGGAGAGGGCAGGCTAGCAGAGATTGTTGAGGAAGAGGAGAGGGCAGGCTAGCAGAGATTGTTGAGGAAGAGGAGAGGGCAGACTAGCAGAGATTGTTGAGGAAGAGGAGAGGGCAGGCTAGCAGAGATTGTTGAGGAAGAGGAGAGGGCAGGCTAGCAGAGATTGTTGAGGAAGAAGAGAGGGCAGGCTAGCAGAGATTGTTGAGGAAGAGGAGAGGGCAGGCTAGCAGAGATTGTTGAGGAAGAGGAGAGGGCAGGCTAGCAGAGATTGTTGAGGAAGAGGAGAGGGCAGGCTAGCAGAGATTGTTGAGGAAGAGGAGAGGGCAGGCTAGCAGAGATTGTTGAGGAAGAGGAGAGGGAAGGCTAGCAGAGATTGTTGAGGAAGAGGAGAGGGCAGGCTAGCAGAGATTGTTGAGGAAGAGGAGAGGGCAGGCTAGCAGAGATTGTTGAGGAAGAGGAGAGGGCAGGCTAGCAGAGATTGTTGAGGAAGAGGACAGGGCAGGCTAGCAGAGATCATTTGCTTGCTTCAGAATGGCACGCTGCCAATCGACGAGGTCGGCTCCGAGACCGTTTGGGAGGGAGATGAGCTCGTGATTTCGAATGTACAGCTCGCTGACGCCGGCACCTACCACGATCCGGTAAGCGCTTTCCGCAAGGAATCTTTGCAAGCCTGCCTTCTCCTCTTCCTCGACAATCTCTGCTACATAGCCTGCCGTTTTCCAGGAGGGAGCCAAGGATCCGAATGGCAGCTCGGAATCCGCATCTTCTGAGGGTTCCTCAGAAGATGGTGACGAAGATAAGTCGAACACAATCGTGACGCTGATCGTCCACAGCGGCGGCGACATGGAATAACAGCCTGCATTACCTTTCCGCTTTATTGTCGATTTTTAGCGTTGTATAAAAGTTTCAAGGCTCGTTTCGTCGGATTTCAGTAATATCATTTATATCTTCGCCTATGATACAAAATACAGCATAAAATTATAATAAAAACATAAAAATACACCGAGCAAATGGTTTTGATAATTTTTGAGCAAACTGGGAATTTTTGACGAAATGGTAGGCTAGAAATGGGGTACCCGTAAGGTGGAAAAAACGGAATCAAAAAAGATATGAATAAATTATCACAAGTATAATTCATATAAGTTAATAAACGGATAAATTAGGGTTTACAAAACACACAGAAATACGCAAAATGACTAGAAAATAGGGGGAGCACCGAGGTCCGAAAGGTCGGCAAGAAAGAGCTACGCGACTATCCGCTATTCCGCGTTGGCCGTGGGGTTTCATCGATTTTCTAAAATGTAAGTTACTTAAAAAACGAAATTAAATAATTTACAGAGATCTTAAAAGCAAAAAAATGGATTTTATACCTGAAATTTTTAAAAGATAGGAAAACACGATTTTTTAAAATTTTTAGCTTTTTACCAATTTTGCATACCCTAAATTAGTTCTGAATATTACTATGCAACATTCCGCTAAATTTAGCTTTTTTAAAAAATAAGTGTTGACTTTTCGAGAAATAAAGAAGTTTTATATTGCTTTTCTAAGGCTCACCTTTGGCTGCTCCTCAACCTGCGTGATTTGCGCGAATTCGATCGGCGCTTTTTGATCGGAAATTGTTTTATCGCTGGCTCCAGCCTCCGAGATCTTCTTGCTCGGCTGCTGTTGAGCACGACCCACCTGAAAAGATGCTAATTAACGGCAAAAATTGACAAATTTCTTACCGTAAGCAGCAATGCCGGGAGGAAAATGATGCCGTGTGCCAGACCGAGAGCTGTCACCAGGAAGATGGTCTTCCAGAAGACGAGAATCTGCATTTTTAAAATTGTTAAAGGATATAAAATTAAGTAGGATTTGTAAAATTATTACAGTAAATTTCATCAAATTTATGGAAGGGGCGCCACTTACCATGTAGGAATCGACGATCAGCAGCGGGGAAACGCAGAGGATCGTCGAAAAACCGGCTTGCAACATTGGCCATCCGATATTCCTAAAATGGGCAGGCTAGCAGAGATTGTTGAGGAAGAGGAGAGGGCAGGCTAGCAGAGATTGTTGAGGAAGAGGAGAGGGCAGGCTAGCAGAGATTGTTGAGGAAGAGGAGAGGGCAGGCTAGCAGAGATTGTTGAGGAAGAGGAGAGGGCAGGCTAGCAGAGATTGTTGAGGAAGAGGAGAGGGCAGGCTAACAGAGATTGTTGAGGAAGAGGAGAGGGCAGGCTAGCAGAGATTGTTGAGGAAGAGGAGAGGGCAGGCTAGCAGAGATTGTTGAGGAAGAGGAGAGGGCAGGCTAGCAGAGATTGTTGAGGAAGGGAAGAGGGCAGGCTAGCAGAGATTGTTGAGGACGAGGAGAGGGCAGGCTAGCAGAGATTGTTGAGGAAGAGGAGAGGGCAAGCTAGCAGAGATTGTTGAGGAAGAGGAGAGGGCAGGCTAGCAGAGATTGTTGAGGAAGAGGAGAGGGCAGGCTAGCAGAGATTGTTGAGGAAGAAGAGAGGGCTGGCTAGCAGAGACGTTTGCGGAATTCTCACTGACCTTAAAGCATCCGTCAGCCGCTCATCGGTAGTCCAAGAGATCGGGTTACGATAGTAGTGGTAGCTGATGTGGGCTGTGAAATCGACGGAGAACCCGATTGACCTGAATTGGTTACGATATGAAAATTGTTTAAAATTCTGAGCGCACTCCATTGTAGTTTTTGACTTCCCGGTCCCTTTAAAGGAGCTGAAAACCCACATTAAGGTGGTGCACATCGAGATCGGGTCCAGGTTGACGCCCCACATCGACAGCAGGCCGAACACGCCGATGTTGATGGAGATCATGGCGACGGTGCTGAAAATTACTTAGGATTAGGCTTGGGTTTGGACTTAGGCACAGGCTTAGGCGGTCAACTACCTCGACAAGATGCTGCTCATCGACGGAATCATCAAGAAGCAAGCCAGGTCCATCGTCAACGCGGCCACAATCACCGTCGAAGCCGTGTTTCCGGCGATCGAATCGAGCTGGTCGACGTAGAAAGAATAGGGCTAAGTTCTATGTTATAAGCGGAGTGGCAAGTAGCTCACCTGGAATATGGTGACGTTGTAGGCAGCGTACTCCTTCACGACGTTCCGCCAGACGGCCTGGATTTGGGAGCGTGCTCCCCAGCCGGCCAGCTCGCCCAGGCTGTACCCGGTGGCGAACATGAACTTCTGAAACGTACAGGGAGGTCGCGATAACTTTTGGATCTCAGTCCCTTTAAACGGAGTTACTTACCTGAACACCGACGACGTCTTGTCCCTGTCTTCGCAGACGCACCATGTCGTTCCAGCGTGATCCTCCATTCTCCGGGTCCTGCATCCAGCTGTTGAGCAAGTTGTAGAACGTTTGGTTGCTGTTGACGTAGAGGGTGCTCTTAAAAACAAATGACCTTTGCTAGCCTCCTCTCTCCTCTTCCTCAATAATCTCTGCTAGCCCTCCTTCTTACCTGCGACAGAGAAGCTTCGCAGCCAGAAACTCGTCGAGAGTTCCGCCCCATGGCAAATGGCAACCGCTCAAAGCGGTCGACTAGGGAACAATGTCGCGCTGCCCGTCCTCGGTGGTGACGTCGGGCGGAGAGTTGACGAACACCAGGATCTAAGAGAATTTTTGCCGAGACGTTCCCTTGAATAAGTTCTAGCCAGTTATGACATCAAAATATCATTTTCCAGGGTTAACGATCCAGTAAAAATCTACCAGCTGACTCTATCGCGCCACACAAACTGCTCGTAGATGTACTTGATGCCGATGAGGCGTGAGTCTTTGGGGACCAGGTTGGCGGTGTCCATCTAGAAATGGAGGCTGGTTTCTTGCAGGCACTCGATCACTCTCTCTTTCTCTCGCGCTCTCTCTCTCTCTCTCTTACCTTTATCTCCATCGAAGCGCATCCCTTGTACGAGACATACCAGTAGCAGAACAACACCACTAGCAAGGGTAATCGAGTCTAGAATTCATGGATTTGCGCTTCAATTCGCCCTTACAGCCCACGCACCTGCCTGCAATTGAGTACACGGCAATACTTGCTGACGATGCCCAATCGTGGTGCTTTTTCATTTCAACCGTACGCTCGGCTACGCTTTGCTCCTCGTTTGCGCTTCTGAATTTTGGGGATAATTGAAAATTGAATTAATTAATTTAGTCCCAAAATTAAAGTCATAAACTTATAATAATTTGATATAAATTAATCATAGAATATAATTCAATAAATTAAATAAAGTTTACTTACTGTATCGCGGCCACCTCGTATTTTTGCTGCTTCTGGCTTTGGCATTCCTTCTGGGCGGCTTGCCGCTTTTCTTCGTAAACCATGGCCGCCAC